ATAAAGCTCTTTTACCTTTATTTTATTTTAAGTTTTAACTTTTAATATTAATTAAATATTAATTAAAAAGTTTTAAATCCTAATTAATATATTATATAACTTTTTTAAATTATATATTAATATTAACTTATAAAAAGGATAATTAATATAATAAAGTTTTAATTTAATTTAAAAATATATTATAAATAAATTTTATTTACTTTTCTTTTATATATTTAAACTTTCTTTTTATAACTTAATATATATTTTTATAATTCTTATTTATTTTATTATAATGCATTTCTTACTTAACCTAACTATTTAATTAACCTAGCTATATTTTTAACTTTTATATATATATTTAAAAATATCTTAATAACTATTTATATAATTAATTTAAACTAATTTAAATTTAAATCGTTAACCGTTTTTATAATATTTTTATAAGTTTATATATTATAGCTAGGTTTATTATAAGCCTTATAACGTTAAGCGTAAATCTTTTTTTTCTTTATATAATAATTACCTTAATGTATAATGCGATTTTTTACCTTAAGAATATTCTATACTTTTATTTAATCCTTAATATCTTTAATAATAAAAGATCCTTTATTTATAATTTAGTTTTTTTTATATAGTAATATTTATTAAACTTATAATTTATTTTATAAAAATTTTTAACCTTCCCTTTTAATAATATAAAATAATATATAATATTAGTTATATTATATATAATTTAACCTAACCCTTTAATAATAAATGTAGGAAAGTTATTTTAATATTATATAATTCTTTATTTAATATATTTAAAAAAGGAATTAACTTTAATTAAGTTATTTAAAATTATAATTATATAAGAATTAAATAGTATTAAAAATAAAGGGTTAACTTAAAGTATAACCGAATAATTTAATTAATTAATAATATAATCTAAATTATATAATATTAAACTTATTCCTTTAAATCCCCTTTATACGTTATTTAAAATAATTGCTTTATTAAACGTATGGAAAAATATAGTTATAAAATCTTCCTTTTAAATATAAGTAATATATACCTATATAAAGCCTTCGATTTACTTTTTATATAATTATTTTAAAGGGTTAAATATTTTAATATTAAATAGTTAAAAGCGGTAAAAGAAATAAGGAGGTATATAAAGGGTAATAATATTGTTTTTTTATAATATAATTTAAATTTATATAAATAGTAACTTTTATAATTATTAAAAAGAAAAAGGTAATAATATCCTTTTATATAAAACTTTATATATTTATTAAAATATTTAATTTAATTTATAACTTATTTATTTATTATTTAATTATTTTTTATAATTATAATCTTTTAATTGTTTAATATATTATTATTTTTATATTAAAGTATAAGGTAGTTTTTCCCTATTAAAATAATATATAATAGGATAATTTAACTATATAATAAAATTGTTTAAATAATTATAAACTATTTTAAATTGCTTAATTAAATAATTTATAGTTTTTATTTACGTTTAGTTAAAATTATAACTATTTTAAATATAATTTTACTTATTATAAATTTAATTTTATTAAAGTTATAAATATTTTTTTTTTAAATGTTATTTTTATTTATTATTTTTTATATAAAGATAAATTAAACGTAATATTTAATTGGATTTTTATTTAATACCTATTAATAATTAATTTTTTAATTAAAATACGTTTAGATATTTAAAATTTATTATATAAAGTTTAACGTTTAATTCTTTCCAATTAGCTTTTAACCTTATAATATTATTAATTAATTAGCTATATCTTTTATATAATTATATAAAGGTAGAAACAATTTTATTATAAAATTAAAGATATATTATATAATTAATTTTTTTTATCCGAAGTTAATTAGGCTTTTAAAGGTAATATTTTGCTTATTAGTTTAAAACTTTTCGTTTAAAGGGTAAATATTATATAAAAAACATTATAAATAGTAATAGCACATTGGACGGATAATTTTAAGTTTCGTTTAATAGCTTAAAGTATAAATTATAGGTTGCTTTTTTTATAAAGGGTTTCTATAATTATTAATGGAAAAATAAGGGATTTTTTTCATATACGTATAAAGGTTAAAAATGTGGCCAGGTTAATTAGGTGGCCAGATTAAATGAAAGATGCGTTATATATAAAAAATTTTAAAAATATTAGTTTTAAATTTATAATTAGCTTTATAAAATATAGTTTTTAATTCCTTTATTTATTTTAACTATTTTAAATTAGTAAACTTTATATTAAAGGAATTATAATTAAATTTAAAAAGCTAATTTAAATTAACTTTTTTAAAGAAGTAGCATTTATAATAATATATATAATTTAAATATAATTAATATATATAACTATTTTAATTATACTTTATATTAAAGTTAAATAATAAAGGGTTATTATTATTAAGATTACCCTTTTTTTAATTTTAATAGTATTATTAATTATTAAGGTTAAAGCAATATTTTAATTTATTTAAATTTAATATTTTTAAGTTCTCTTCTTTTTTATTTAAATATAATTTAAAAGGAATATAGGTTACCTTTAAACTTTAAGCAACCTTTTTTCCTTTAAAAAGTTATTTCTTTAACTTTACAATTTTAATTAAGAATTAAGCATTTATTTATTAAATTAAAATTATTAAAAGATTTTAATAATTAATTTTAAATTTATTATTCTTTTAAAAATAAATTATATTAGCTTTATCCTTAAACTATTATTAAAAACTTTCCTTAATTTAAATTTCCTAAAAGAATATTAGCTTTAATTATTTATTTATATATAAATATATTATAACTAATAATATTATAAATAACTTTAAAGAAAAGCTTTAAAATTATTATAAGTAGGTTAAATCTTAAAGGTTAAATATAATATTATAAATTTTTTTAGTTTTATAATAGGTATTTAATAAAACTTAAGCTTAAAAAAGGGAAGAATTTCCTTTAAAGCATATATAGAAAGGGTATATAATATATATAATATATATAATATATATAATATATATAATATATATAATATATATATACTTTAAAGGCCTTAAAATATTATAATATAATAAATTTTTAAAGCTATTTTTAATAAATTAAATATAATAAGTTATTTTTTAACTATAAATATTAATATTATTACTTTTATAATACTTTTTTTTTTAAATATTATATATTTTAAAAATAATAATACTTATTAATCTTTTAAATATATTTTAGCTATTTTTTATACTTTTTTTAATATATTTAACTTTATTATATTTTTATATATAGCTTTATATATTATTAATATATTTCTTTTTAAAAGTTTTATATTTAAATAATTTATAAATATTTTTTATAGTTTATTTTTTAACTTTTTTTTTAATAAATTAAAAATTTTAATATTTAATAATTATAATATATAATTATAATGCATTTCCCACTTAATCTGGCCACCCAATTAACCTGGCCACCCCCTTAGCCGATATAAATAATATCGGTGCGCTAATTATATAATAATTTAATAACTCTATAAATATTAATTATATAAAATAATAAAATATACCATTAGATTCGTAATAAAAAGAACTATTTAATAGTACCCTTTATTAACTTTAACAACTTATATTCGTAGAGTTATTAAGCAATACGCTAAAGTAAGCGTTAAATTAATCCTTACTTAGTGCCCCATTAGCATATTACTTAATATCTCGCTTAATAAATTTTATAAAAAATAGTAAAAAATACCTCTGGATTTCCCTTTAACTAACGGATTTAAAGGTACTAATTATTAAATCGTACAATTAATATTCGTAAAGTTATTATAGATTGAAATAATAGGATTTTATATAGGTTAAGGGGGTGGCCAGGTTAAGTGGGAGATGCATTATATATCTTTTTAAATTATTAATAATAATAAAGTATTATTAATAATATTAATAGCTTTAAAAATAATAATTTATTTACCTTTTTTAATAGCTTTTTTAAAAGTTTAATATAAAATAAAGTTAATAATTATTTAATAATTATTATTAATGCTTTAATTTATATTTATTTTATTAATATTATAAAAATAATTAAAAAAAAGATTAATATTAATTATTATTATATTATTAATATATATAACGCATCTCCCACTTGACCTAGCCACCCAATTGAGCTGGCCACCCCCTTAACCTATATAAAATCCTATTATTTCAATTTATAATAACTTTACGAATATTAATCGTACAATTTAATAATTAGTACCTTTAAATCCGTTATTTAAAGGGGAATCCAAGGGTGTTTTTTACTATTTTTTACAAAATTTATTAAGCGAGATATTAAGCAATACGCTAAAGGGGCACTAAGCAAGGATTAATTTAGCGCTTACTTTAGCGTATTGTCTAATAACTCCGCGAATATAAGTCGTAAGAATTAGTAAAGGATACCGTTAAATAGCTCTTTTTATTACGAATCTAATGGTATATTTTATTGTTTTATACGACTATTATTCGTAGAGTTATTAAATTATTACGTGATTAGCGCACCGACGTTTATTGTATGGGCTAGGGGGGTAGCCAGGTCAAGTGGGAGATGCGTTATAAAGCTTAACTTAATTTATTTTATTATTTAATTTATTAATTAATATTTATAATAGGTTAATAAAGTTTAAAGGTTAATATAGGTTTATTTTTTAATAAAAATACTTTAAAGTTAATAATATAGGTATAATTTATTAATACTTTAAATATATATTATTATTTAAATTAAAGTTTTAAATTAAATTATATAAATAATAGCTATAATATAATAATTTTTAAAATTAAAAGATATAATAATAAAGAGGAATTAATTCTAAATAGAATAAGGATAAAAAGTTATCGTAAGACTTAAACACGGTCGCGTTATTAAATAGTGTTTAATTAGGTGGTTGGGAGTTAAAGCGCGTTTTAGGGTGCCTAGGGCCCTGGTCGTGACGGGGGGTGGTCGTGAGGCAGGGTTTTTGCTTATCCGCCCCTTCTCTTGCCACAGTTAGCTGCAGGTATATTGCCGACACTACTGAATAATTCGAACGGTCAGGTTCTGGTTTCCGGTGCTCTTCAGAGTACAGAAAAGGACTGTTATCTATGCAGGATTTGGTAGCTATAATAACCTCCGCTTATGCGATGCAACATCGCCTGCCTGAACCATCCCAACCCATCACCCCTTTTTTATCGGTGGTTCCGTTTCTATGAGACTTGGTCATCCTACAAGACTGCCATTTTTGATGGAAGCCAATAGACAAAGAATATTAGGAACGTCGGGTCTACTCAGGCAAATACCTTTGTTTGGAACATCATATAGCCAATTTAGTCCTGTTGAAAACTTGGTAAGGTTTTTTTTTTTCATATGGCTGTCACTCACACCGAGTTGGTTCTCCGCGTTTGGAAGCGTGTAGGAGCCTTCGCTACTGGTCAAGTGTCTGATCCAGTAACCCTCACTGGGAGCGATCTGACAATAGAAGATGTTATAAGTGTTGCTCGGTCAGTAATTCTATTTGAACACCTGATGGTTTATTTATAAAGAAGTCTTGCTCAACTTGGTACTAGTCACAATGCTGGTACTGAAATCAGTGACTCTTCACTTGAGCGTATGGAGAGGAGCTTCTCTACACTTTTGAACAGACTTCAGAATGGGGATGTTATATATGGTAAAAGACCTCAATAGAAAGGAGTAGGTGGAGAGTTCTTGTCTAATTCTGACCACTATAGGTGTGAATACCAGTTTCGGGGGTTCTGCGGATCTGCGTACTAGTGAGTTCGCTGAGCTTCAAAGGGCGTTAATTCGGGAACTTCATTACGGGGTGTTACCGCCCGGAGAAAGAGATCATCACTCCACGCCGCGGCAACCATCTTTCCATCAATATGACTTTCTACTTGACGGAAGCCATGATGTCTTCTTCATGCCTCGGTCATGGGCTCGGGCAGCTATCGTTATTCGCATCAATTCGTTGATTTCTGGATGCTCAGCTGTTCGACCTGCCATTGTTGAACGAATGCAAGATTTGTTGCGGCATGACATTATCCCCATGATTCCCCTTCGAGGTAGCATCTCGGCGTCTGGTGACTTAAGTCCTTTATCCTACATTTGCGGAGTAATACAAGGTAAAACTACTATCAGGGTTCTTTCAAAGACCTCCACTGCAGTATATGCAGATGCTGCATTAGCAGAAACGGGCCTAGAGCCCATTATGATAGAAGCCAAAGAAGGGCTTGCTAGTAAGTAATACGATTCTTGGCTTCTCTTTCTAGATTTCCGTGTTTTGTTGGCTTATACCTGTACCATCGTGGCTTTGTATTGCATTGGGTTTAAAAGTTGAAATGCTGATATTCTTTCTATTATAGTAACTAACGGAACCGCCGTGTCGGCTGCCGCAGCTGTCTTGGGTCTTCATGACACCCATTCTCTGGCTATATTTGCTCAAATATTAACTGCTATGAGCGTCGAGGCTTTGAACGGTACAATGGAGAGCTTTCATGCTTTCTTCTCTCAAACTCGTCCCCACCCTGGGCAGGTTAGTCGACATTGTTTGTCAATAGAATACGAGTTAACGTGTATTGCAGACGGAATGTGCTCGTAACATTCTATCATTTCTAGCTGGATCGAAACTCACAAAGGCCAATGATGGAGCCAACTGGATGCTACGCCAGGACCGCTACTCTATCCGAACAGTACCGCAATGGATTGGTCCTATACTTGAAGATCTTGTATTAGCTCATGAACAAATATCCATAGAGTGTAACTCGGTTACCGATAACCCTCTTGCCTATGAAGGAAAATTCCTGCATGGTGGAAATTTTCAAGCTAAGTCGGTAACATCTGCAATGGAAAAGGCACGACAGGCTACCCAAGGCATAGGACGTATGCTTTTCAGCCAATGTACAGAGCTTATCAACCCGGCTACAAATCGAGGCTTACCCCCGAACCTAGTTGCCGACGATCCCAACGTGTCATTTATTTTCAAGGGCACTGATATTTATATTGCAGCTCTAACCGCTGAGCTAGGCTTTTTAGCAAACCCCGTTAATCACGTTCAAACAGCAGAAATGGGGAATCAGTCTCTGAATTCATTAGCTCTTATATCTGCCCGCTATACACATACGGCAAACGATGTTCTCTCGCAACTTGTTGCCCTCCATTTAGTTGCTGTGTGTCAGGCTCTAGATCTCCGCGCTATGCATATACAGTTCCTCGAGAACTACAAACTACAATTCACTAGCATAGTCTCCGATCACTTCATGTTGGTTGAGCCCTTACCAAGTCATCTGACAGTTAACAGAGGATCGAAATTGGATGCACAAGTGCTAGGAAATGCCAGATCTGAACAACCCCCGGATTTGAACTCGGATGGAATCAATATGTCTTTCAGACAATTCAAGGAAGCCCTTTGGGAGGAGCTTCTGTCGTCACTCGAAGCAACGGCGAATATAGAGGCGCCTAGGCGCTTTGACGTTGTCGCGAAGTCTCTGCGACCGAGCATACTCGATAACCCAAACTTTGGCCGCGACCCTGGCCTTATCGGGAGGCTTGAACGTTTTACTGAAGCGCTTTCTCTTACGCTAGATGATGCATGGCGCGCGAATAGGAGTCTCTACCTTGCGCACGGGGATGCCACGAACCTGCTTGGTAGGGCATCGAAAGTAGTTTATACATTTCTACGCCATACTTTGAAAGTTCCGATTCTCGCATCAACAGCACTTATGACACCTACCACCGAGGATATACGAAGCAGGCAGGCACCGACAGTCGGCTCATATACGGGAGTTGTATACCGTGCTGTGAGAGATGGCACATTGAGTGAAGCCTTGACAGGTCTTTTAGAGCCCCATGAATAACTGGATGCTGGGTGTCTTGGAATAGTCTACACGTTTCTACATGTAATAGATCTTTACCAAGTCGCACTGATTGGCCATTTTTGGGCTGGTCGAGCCAGATCCCATACAGGTATCGTTCTGTTCTACTATTGGAGCTCATGCTCAATTCAGATAGAACTCTCTTACGTGTTTACTTAGAAGTATCAAGACAAGGTCAGAACTTGTCAAAAGTTCATTTTTAGTGCTCCGCTGCCCTATTTCCTTTTACTCGAATGTGATATGGTATTATGGAAGAGATAAGGTAATGAAGAACGGAATGGTAAGTCAGGACGGAACTAGGAAACTCGGGCTCTGATGTCTGCATTCTTAGGCTTCTATTGTTAACTGCAGATCGAATGCACGTAAGCCTAAGCCTTCCGCTGTGCACTCGTTAGGACTGAAGATGAACTTGATATTGTGTGTCTTAAGCCACGAATACGTCGCCATCATCTAACCCGAACAGCATATCTATTATTCATGCTGTTTGGCAGCTAGGCTTAGAATGTTGACAGCGCTGTTGAAATAGGGCTCGTGGGCGTCTTTTCCAAGTCCAAGGAAGCATATGGGAGAGGCGACACGAAATGAGTAACATAGGTAATGCTTTTGATCGCTTCATCGTACGTCTCCTAATCGGTGATGTCAGGCATTCGATGAACCTACACTACGGCGAGGTAGCTCACTAAGCTAGCTATAATATAGCGCCTAGCCCATATAGTTATAGAAGTGCTGTTCCTACGTAGGCAATCCCTTTGCAACAACCCTTTATAACAACTTTAATACATTGTTGTAAGGGGTCCAATTATATAGCTATTACTATATAGCACAACATAACCTACTTAATATACTTTACTAGCCTATACTCTATTGCCATCTATTCAACCTAACGTACTAAGTCTGAAGGTTTATCTCACAAGTTTAGTGAGCATCCCCAGACATTGAAGCGCAAAACGGGTCGGGAATGTGTGACAACGTAGCCAAACTTCTATGAATGAAACCTCATGCGTTCAAGCTATTCTTTTTTATCTTTTTTTTTCTTTCCATGTTCGGAGTGACTAGCTAGGTAGATAAGATGACCGTTCCAGGATGTCGGGCGCATTCCTTCATGTTTCAACCTGTGAGGTCAAGCTTGGCGTCAGCATGGCCCTCTGAAATAGCCCCTGAATGGCCGAAGGCCTTCAATTTCCAGCTATTTGCACATTACATGCACAGAATTTTCAGCTTCCAGAATACATACTACTTAATCGCTAAGAAAGTACAAGAATTGAGATTGCCTTTGCTGCAACACCTACTATCAATCATGCGGCTTCTAAATGCACATACGCTGGAATTCAAAAAGGTCTCCGATAACAAAGTCCCCAAGTACGCAATATTATCTCATACTTGGCTAGATGAAGAAGACGAAGTATCTTTTCATGAGTTCAATCAACCCGACGCAATCAAAAAACCCGGATATCAGAAAATCGAGTCATTCTGCGAGCTTGCCATCGCCAGCGGCTACAGCTATGTCTGGATCGACACCTGCTGCATCGACAAGGCGAGCAGCGCTGAACTGTCAGAAGCTATCAATTCTATGTTCAGGTGGTATGAGCGATCGGCCGTCTGCTTTGCGTATCTCCCAGACGTTTCTGAGGCATCGGAGCATCTTTTGGCGGAATTCGAGTATAGCCGCTGGTTCACACGGGGGTGGACTCTGCAAGAATTACTAGCACCTAAACTGGTCCTCTTCGTTGGGGCGAACTGGAAGGTCTTCGGAAACCGGGACTCTCTGGCTTATCCAATTAGTAGTATCACGCGCATTGAGAGCCGTTATCTGACTTCACGTGCCGCCGAGTTGCACTACCGCGCATCGGATAAGCCGTATTACGATGCCGGTGAGGGCCACTTCGAGCGAATGGACAAGATCCATGCGGCTACTGTGGCTGAGAAGTTGAGTTGGGCGGCAACGCGCGAGACCACTAGAAGCGAAGATATAGCCTACTGTTTGTTAGGGTTGTGTGAAGTTAATATGCCTCTCTTGTACGGGGAAGGCTCGAACGCATTCCTTCGGCTACAAGAAGCAATTATTCGTCAAAAGTTCGATCCGACCCTGTTCGCATGGAATGTGGTTATTGAAAATGAAGAGGGACAGAGGACTTTAAGGCCAGAGAAACCTGTCCCTTCTTCGAAATGGAAATCGGCTGGCAAAGTTTTACTCGGTATAGATAATCCCTGGAGACACCGCAACGGCGATGAATTTCGATTGTTGAACTTTACGTGCCCAAAGATTCTGGCACCGAGTCCTCTCTGCTTTTCAGGGTGCACCGATTATATCAACATGCAAGTTAGTCTGGACTGGGATCTGACTAGTAGAGGATTTTCTATTAGCCTCCCCGCTTCTATGAACACGAACCCATGCATGCTGCTCCCATGCCATAGAAAGGACGATCCGTGGCATCTTATAGGAATCCCCCTCGATAGCTACCCTGGCGGGCTATTCGACCGCGCAGCCGCCCCTATTGAGTTCATTGACCGCAAGAAATGGCACATATGGCTACAGCGCCGTTTAATGCTGTCCACGTTTGCGCCCGGGTGGAAACAAATACGACAGTCGAGCTGGGAGAGGTTGCGGATATATGTGGACGCGAAGCTCCAGTGCCTCGACTTAGCCGTCTCACGAGACGTGTTCCAGCTATCAGATGGCATGGGGTGCGAATGGCCTAATCGAAGGGTCAATCAGCCACTATTTCGGTTATTGATTAGGTCGCGGGAGACGGACAAGACTTATATTGTCGATGTTGAAGCAGCGATGATCCCATCAAAACACCTTCAACTCCTGTTTCCTGGGTCGATGCATGTGCGTTTTAATCACTATATCCGTAGCGTCGGACAAGCGACTGGATTGACCCCGGTCGATTGGAACAACTGGCAACTCATTGAGACGTCAAGAGACAGCCGCGGGCCTGAGCCTCTGCTGGTAAATGTTGAACAAGTTGACTCGACTCACGCTTCAGAATATCTACTCCGCATCAGCGATCCGTACGAAATAAGAAGTAAGAAAGAAAAAAAATTATTCACCATTCTTCAGAATTATCAGGAGAATATGTTGGACTTGCGCAAAGCGAGAGAAAGTTTGCTACAGAGAATATCCCTGTTCCCTGATATGGTCGGAGCTTATATTCCTCTACCAATCCAACACCTGTTCTCTGATCTTTATTACCAAGTCACGTTATCTTGTGGATGCATATTCACGGCTTGGTCCCTGGGTCTCCTGTCTGTACAGATGCAGTGTGACCTTTGGTGTGTTTTTCTGTGCTCTAGGATATACAAAATGATTGCCTGGGCAGGTATAATTCATGTTATAACGTACCGCGCTCTGCCTGCGGTATGCTATCTGGCGCCCGAGGCCTCACCCAATATTGCTCGTTATAGGACCTGGATAGCGACTATATCCATAGTGCCAATATTCTCCGAGATAATTCCACTTCCCGACGGCGCATGGCTCGTGTGCCTGTCAGTCCCAGCATTGTCAACCTTTCTTGGGATTCAAAGCCTCAGCGGGTACCGGTACGTAGCTTTGATGCTTGGTATAGGGCTGCTTTCACCCCTCGTGGGGATCCTCATCACTGTCCCTAATATTAGTGCGGACATTATGGCGGTCGGTGTCTGGGTAATGCATCTCTGGATCAATTATAGCAATGGAAGCGATTGTGAGTGGTTCACGGCATTGTGGTGTTACACAAGCGTCTATATGTTCTTGCCGTCAAGAAACACAGAGCAGGCGGATTGCCAACTCAATCCTTTTGCTTTGCTTGTAGAAGATGGAATCCGGCGGTATCAGCTTTCAATTTATGGGCACCAGTAATACGGAGAACCGCGATGGTTCAAAAGAAGACCAAACAAGACCCTTCGCTTCTAAAAGCTTCATCTTATCTTGAGCTATTGGTCCATGAGGCAAGTGCATAGCTCAGGTTTCGCTATCTTCTTGCCGGAATAAGAGGTTTACCTATTATCGCCATTAACTATTCACGTTCCTTGTTATTTCACCCCAAATAGCACTGTTCCTAAAGTCGCACAATCATTTTCCAAGTCTCAAGCGCTGAAGCGTACGTGCGTGACGACGGATAAGGTTCCCGTCAGGCCCCAACGGATGCTTTCATCGGGACGCGGCATGGCGGACTTTGAGAGGCCAAAACAACCCTCTCTGCAAGGGGCTGTAGCCGGGGTCCAAAGGCTTTCAGGATGGAAGCACAATAGTTGGCGTCGGCGGCGCTACTGGTGATAGACAGTCCGAAATAAATAATAGATTAGGTGGTGCCCCGGCCACTACGGAGCACCAAGATTTTGCAACAAATTACCTACCTAACCTAGTTCATTCTAGGTATGTGAGCCCCCCCGTGTAAAGGTTCAATTCAGCTCCTTGTAGACACTCCAATAGAGAAAAGCAGAAAACAAGATCTCGGACCACCCGGAATTTTGATTCAAAAAAAGGAGGGATGATCAAGTACGGATGGGTGCATCATGGTGTGCGTACGCGGTGAAACCAAGCACCTCGGCGCCCAGATAAGCATTTTCTTCACCCACCAAATAAGCACTTTAGCTTTTGGCCAAGGCTCAGAGCTAGGCGGTATCAGTGTTGGTCAATCATTCCCCGTGGAGAACTAGCTACAGTAAGCTCACTCCCGCCATTCATTCCATTACCTTGATAGCTGTCTATAATGGACTATGTAAGTTTCCCGACATGATACCGGAATCAGCTGAGATGGTAAATCGACTTACTCTAGAGAAGCATGTCTTAGCCCCCTCATCCCTGCTTAGCTGCTGAGTGTCGAGGGCGTCGAGAGTGTCTAAGACTCGCTTGGTCATGAAATTCCCACTGACATGGCGTCTCTGTACCACTTCCCTGAATCCCCTGCTTCTCCTGCTCTGCTCAGCGTTCTGGATGGTCCCGTCAGCCACCATGGTTTACCAGCCTGTCTCCTCCTTCCTGAATGCGTTGGGTCGACTTTGCTCATTCTCAAGACTTGGCTCTTGTCTCATTTGGGATTTAGGGCAACCAGCTAGTAGCTAGTCAGTGGGTTCTTAGTTCGATTGTTCGGTAGTTCGGTATAACTAAAGCGAAGCTACTCGGGAGTTGAGTTCTGGGCAGTTTCTGGGGAACACTGGGGAAAGCAATCTGGGGCCGTCCTCGACGTCCTATCCTCACCGAGTCAACAAGCCAACAACGAATTCCGCCCTCAAGAATGCATTCCAGTCGTTGCCTGGTCCATTCGTCCATTCCACTATCCTTCATGGCCACATTGCTACTATCCTACTGCTACCCATACCCTAACCCAGTGCTACCTCAAAATGCTTTTTTCTGTATCCTCCTACCTACAATTACCACCCTACATACCGCCTTTTATGTCATTCCTTGTACTGACATGTCGTTCTAAACCCCTTCTCACCAATTCAAGTGGCTCTTCAAAGTGACAAAGGATATTGCACTGCATTAACGATACACTGTATGTGGAGTCGCTACCAAGCGTATCCCGTCTCCCCGGTTTCCCCAGTCTGTCTGTGTTCGCCATACGAGCTAGCCCCCCGCCATTCGGTCCTATCCCTAGGCGCTTGCTCCAGTGACGAAGTGAAACCTGCTTGTCTTGCACGTAACTGTCCTACTTGAAGGATTGCAGTGGCTAGGATCCACCTTCTAGTAGTCTCGTATGATTAATATACGCACCTATCACGACCCTGGCCTCACCTAGGGACGCGGTGTTAGTTGCAGCTGTATCACGCGGGCACATGCAGTGAATAAAGACCGAAGCTTACATCTAGAACATGTGGCCGAGATCTGCAGATGCCATATAAAAACACAGTTCGCTCGTACTGTTGTTCTGTGTTTCTTGAAGCTCCCTTGGTGATCCGTCGCCTATCCCAGGAATCTGGTAACTTAGCGAGCAATTCAGTATGTCGTCAACCAATGTTGAGGGCGAAAAACCCGCGGTGCACAATGGCAGCGACGCGGATGTCAAGGTCGAGCGGGTTGTCTCCCAAGAAGAGCACGCTTACGACCTGGATACGAGGGCCAAGGTCTCTGATTATAAGGCCGACGCAATCGATGCAGAGAACGCGGAACACAACATGGGCGTACTGGAGGCCGTTAGAGCCTACCCCATGGCGACCTTCTGGGCCTTCGTCATGTCTTTCACCATTGTAAGCTGCCTTATATATCTGTTCGACCTGGAGATCTCTGCAAGGCTAACACCACCATAAGATTATGGAATCCTACGATGTCTTCCTCTGTAACAACTTCGTCGCCTTGCCTGCGTTCAGAGAAAAATACGGTGTAATGCATGAGGGTAATTGGTACATCACGACATCGTGGCAGTCGGCGCTCCAGGTATCTGGACAACTTGGTGCTCTTATCGGCGTCTTCCTTGCTGGTCCACTCACCAGCTGGATCGGTTATCGCTGGGCGACACTAGCCGGCCTCATGTTCCTGAACGGTTTTATCTTCCTCTTCTACTTTGCCAACTCGCTTCCACTTATTTTCGTTTCTCAGCTCCTTGAGGGCTTGCCGTGGGGTATCTTCATCGCCAATGCACCGGCATACTGTAGTGAGATTGTGCCGCTCCCACTTCGAGCCCCTGCTACCCAAATGCTGCAAATGTTCTGGGCCATTGGCAGTATCATTGTTGGCGCCGTGACCTACGTCTACAACCCTGTCAGGAATGAAAGTGCTTTCAAGTATGCTCTCCTTTAGTTCGATGCAAACGTTTCGCTAACGACGAGGAACTAGGATTCCCATTGCACTTCAATGGATATTCCCCACCCCGCTCGCTATCCTTATCTTCCTTGCACCAGAGTCTCCCTGGTGGCTAGTTCGGAAGGGACGTCTTGAAGAAGCAGCAAATGCTGTTGGACGTCTGGGACGCAGGTCGAGACTGAATGTCAACGAGACCGTAGCTATGATGCGTCGTGTGGTGGAACTCGAGAAGACCGAGAAGGAACCCAACCATCTCGAATTGTTCAAGGGCACTGATCTTTACCGTACCCTCATCGTGTGCGGTGTCTACGCGGCACAGAATCTTACGGGCAACTTGATTGCTAACCAGGCCGTCTTCTTCTTCGAGCGTGAGTCGTGATCAGTGTTAACATACCCGAGCGTGTATACTAACTCCAAGCACAGAGGCTGGTGTATCGACCAATACCGCGTTCGCCCTCGGTCTAGTCGTATCTGGACTGCAGATAGTCTTCGTCATGCTTTCCTGGATCCTCACCTCGTACCTCGGCCGACGTACCATCTACCTCTGGGGCTCTGCTTTCAACGTCGTCCTCCTGATCGCCCTTGGTGTCGCAGCCTCTGTTGGCATGTCTGTCGCAGCCTCCAACGCGCAAGCGAGCTTGGGTCTAATTATCTCGGTCTTATTCACCCTCGGACCTGCGCCCGCGTCGTGGGTTATTATTGGCGAAACCTCTTCTATTCGCCTCAGACCTCTCACCACTGGAGTTGGACGCGCTTCATATTATCTCGTTGAGATTCCTCTCATCTTCCTCTCTAGTTGGCTGCTCAACCCCACGGTAAGATTCCCGTCCCTTGGCAACTTTGCGGTGATAATTGCTGACATATATCCTAATCACAGGGTGGAAATCTTGGTGGCAAGTGTGGCTACGTCTGGGGAGGCACCGGCCTGTTCTGCTTCGTCGTGGCGTACTTCTGGCTGCCTGAGATGAGAGGCCGGTCGTACCGTGAGATTGACATATTGTTTAGGCGCAAGGTGCCGGCACGCCAGTGGAAGAAGACAGTTATTGATGTGCATGATGACGAGTAGATGCAGACAGGGCCAGTGAAGTCGTGGATGCGAAGAAGAAAGTCGCGGCTGAAAGAGGATCATAGTATAGAATTGTAATACCCCTCATGCTGATTAACCTGATTTTCGAGTGATATCGACCAATGCGACTTTGATGCTTGGCACCATTGCAGCTGTAACCGTCGTGCTAGACCCGATAAGGGAAAAGGAGCCATTAACGCCGATAATGCTATGCTAGTCCAAGAGATTGAAGAGATGAACAACTCTCTAGAATGGAGTTCATCAGTTTCCAACGCCGGGAGAATAAGTCCCATGAAGAACCTCTGCCTTCGGATGGGAACCCGTTCCTCCCTACCCTAATTCTTTGGAGATTGCAAGCAAATGCAGTTAAGTCCGCTGAAGGGACGGAATTTTGGCGATGAGCCTTTATACTAACCTAAGTAGAGACTGTAGAGTCGACGCTAGGGATCAGCATAGATGCAACAAGACATAACTGCAGATAATCAATTGCATGACAGTGCATATGGATAGCCCCCACGGTATTAACGTCTGAATTACTCCAATCTATCTACAACGTCATTTTTCTCTTTACAAAATTATTAGAGACATAACATAACACGTCAAATTTGACTCTTTACCGTCTCCTTTTGGCATTTTCATTTGGGCACGAAGAATACCATCATCATCAATATGCCGGAGTTTGGGGCAGCAGCCACTAGTGAGGAGGTCGTTGAGGCTTTCGTCGACCAGGTCAGGAGCCGAACATTCGTTATCACCGGTGCAGAGCAGCCGTGCATCGGAAGCTCAATGGCAATAGCCTTAGCTCGAGGCTCACCTTCTCATATTATCCTCGCTTCGAAGAATCCATCTAGAGTGAACCCTGTCCTGGCCTCAATTCGAGACGTCAACCCCGCTGTCAAGGTAACCTTTGTCCAAGTCGACATAAGTGATTGTGCCTCTGTCCGAAGCGCGGCGAACAAGATCCTGGACGTTACCGGATCTGTTATTGATGTGTTGCTAAACAGTGCTGGTAACACGGGAATCAAAGAATATACCGTTGATGATAAAGCGAGCTTTGACTTACAGGTCTTCGCCAATCAGTACGGTCACTTCCTACTGACCAACTTATTAGCTCCGGCTCTTGTGGCTGGGGCTCAAAAGGGAGGCCGTCGAGGGTCCCGTGTCATAAATCTAACCTGCCTCGGATACCGCATTAGCCCAGTGCATTTCGACCACTACAATTTCCCGAACGACAAGAACTATGATCTCTGGACCAACTACAGACAGGGCAAGATGACTAGCATCTTCTTTAGTATTGGATTATTCCAACGACTGGGGAGTCACGGAGTTAGCTCATTCGCGGCCCATCCCGGCTCTGACCCCGATACCAACGCCGGTGCAAATTTAGTCCTAGAAATTTACGACGCCATTTCTGAAGCTGCGAAACGGAACAGTGACGTGGATCCTGCCTTTGATAAGCCACGATTCAAGACATATGCACAGATCGGCGCAACTCCGTTGATAGCCGCACTCGACCCCGAGCTATCTTCCAAATCTCCCGGTTACTTAGAGAATAACCACCTGGCACAACTAGACGCGCATGTTTATAACTCCGATCAGGTGGAAAAGCATTGGAAACTGAGTGAAAGATTAGTCCATGAAGAATTCACATACTGAATTAAGTTGGAAGAGTGTCGATGAGACCGAGTTTCAATACCGGGAATAAAATCAAATTTCAGAGAACGAGGATGGCACAAAACAATCCTTCCCGTATAGCTACCTAACATATACAAATGAACACGACAGAATAAATGGATTTAGTTGCATAAAAACTTCCCTGACTCGCTTCGGAACCAATGTTCACAAGCGCTGTAGACCCGAATAATGGGCCCATCCATCATGTTGGATCCAAATAACGTCTACACCAGTTGCGCCACTGTGAACTCGATTTGGTCTGTGAATACTATGCCATACACCCCCATTAGTCGGTGTTCGTATTCCTAGTACTGCATTTAGATCTCGGGTTCTTGCCCATCTATGAAAAATGAATCCGAGATGGTCGGCCAAGAACCAACTCTGATTGTCTTGCGAAGCGTCGGCCTCTTTCCCTAAAAACGTGGCAGCACGGATTGTTGCGCAAACTTCAAAGGTTTCTTCATCCTCTATATGCAGAATGTCCAACAGGTCTCTTACACTGGGAACTGGTAGATGTGGTGCCTGCGCTCGTATACTATTGCGTATCGCGTGGAGCCCACATAAGCCGTCACCAATGGTAGGGATGATCCTTGCAGAGTCTGGAAATAGGCAATGAAAAATAAACTCTCCTTTTGCAAGAGGATCTGAAGGGGAGTCTTCTATGAAATCAACGGGAAAGCCAAACGGAACACTTGGACGATAGCCTGGAGGAAATACGAAGAACGATTCGGGAACTGATGTCGAAACCGTCCTGGGGAGTGACTGGAGATGTGATTTGAGAACTGGCTTGGAAACCGGCTTCAACACCGATTCGGATGATTCGGAGACTGGTACAGAGACTGGTTTGAGAACGGGTTGAAATAGCGATTTGGTGACTGGTTTATAGACTGGAGGCAATATAGGGGGAAGAACTGAACGGGAAGCTGTAGTGACAGCAGCCAAAAATGCAGGAGGCGAAATTTGTGTTCGCATTACATTCTCGTGAGTAGATGGTGGAGGAGAAACCTTTGAGCTTACCCGAGATCGGGAGCGGTGCTTACGTTGTTGATTTGTACGACGTGCAGCCTGACGTAGCCAAAATGCAGTAGTAAGAGGTTCCCAATCTCTTGTTGGCGCTTCCTTTACTGGAGAGAGCGGAGATGAGAATGGAGGGTTTACGGGATTTGAATTTTGGGGGTTATATTCTGGAGAAGAGCCGGCGCAAAGCTTATAATGTTGGCTTGTATATTGACCTACCCTCTCTTCTTTGGGGGTTTGATTGCCCCCTGCTCTCTGGTAAAGTGCCCTCGCTAGCGTTGATACAATGAGAGAGGCCACAATAAAAGAACTTCGAGGAAAGCGGCCGCCGATGGCGACGCGAAAGAGATATATTAACTCGAGGAGTAAAGACGCCATAGATATAATTAGGCATAGGGCAATGGCTCGGGCAGTCCATCGACACTCCCGAGTGAAATATTGCAGACGAGGGGCGGTGTCGGCGAGAATTTGATAGAAGGCAAAAATGACCCAGAAAGTCAAGAATCCTCCATTCAAATATTTGAGAAGGAACCAAGGTACAAAGGTGGTCGTGATGGCGATAACAATGGTCTCGTACAAACTTTGGAAAGTATTATTCCGCCCGAGCATCACTTGCCCCTTGGCCTTTTGCATGATTGAGTGATTTAATGGCTGGGTGATTGTTCAATGTCCTATTTACAGATTGTGTAATAACTTGGTGATGAGGCATGGGCCAAAATGCTGTTTGTTGAACATTCGTGTTCTGCGCTTTATCCCAATACCAAGTATTTATTATAATCTGCGGTTAAATTGCACAAAGAAGTACTGCGCTTTCTATCGTCTACCCGTAAAATAAATAAAAAATTCATTGTTTTCAATCAATTCTATCTTTGTTTGTATTCATTTCTGCTCATCCTTGTATTTTCTTTGCCGTAAAAAGATAATTTCTCAGCCTCTCGTGTGTGATTTTGTCTCTTATTGGCCTATTGCTATTGTTCCAACTTAGCAGGATAGAAAGCAACAGTTAGCCATTTAGGTTAGTTATGCTACCTTGGAAGAATCGGGAAGATTTGCTCCTTAAGTTTATACACCTATTTAAAGAGATTTTCCCAATATGGATGCTGCAACGGAATCGTTCATCAATGGATGACGTACAGGGAATGGCAAAGCTGAGAGTAACATTTGAATGATTATACTTACTGGCCGGCGAGATAAAGGACTTACAAGCTATGTTACTGTACATAGAGTCTCAATATTCGAAGTTTGTGCTCAAGGCCCTAAGTATTTAACACAGGTGATTATTTCCATCGATAGCTTTGACCCCTTACATGCTGAGGATGAGCGCACAGATCACAGCAATTTCGGGCTACCGACGCCGTAGACTTCACCTGGAAAAGCCCATCTTCCAGCTCTTCACACATAATCGCCAGGGGTCAAAACGAAGTTCCTCGCGATCCCCACCTTCATCGTCGCAACCGCCTAGGCAGCCGTTGGGCTGGCTCTCACGAATGAGATCCCAGTCGACGGCTGAGAGTAACTTCTCGTATATAGAAGAATTAGTATTAGAGGAATCTCCAGTCCCCAAGGTTGACGATGCGAGAGCTAGCGAAACTAACATAGTCACCAAGATAGCCTTTGAGATCGTCGTTCTAAGGCTACCTTGTTCAATCCGAGTTAAATCCTGTAAGCCAACTCACTCGAGCGCCTCATGGGAGGTCTCCGTCTCTTTTGTGGTAATAGAAATGGTGCTTTATCCTTGCTCCGTGGGCTATCAGATAGTCTTTGCGAGTATAACTTTGGCTGCACTTCTGACACTTGAATGACCTTCCTTGGCCACGACTTTCTTGGAGATGGCGATTGTAGTTGGGCTTGTTGCTGGATACGCGATTGTGCTTGCTGCAATACAACTTTGCTTGGCTATGAGCGTTCGGCGCCGTCATAGTGTTAGTAGTCGGGAAACAGGTGGTTACAGAGGTGCTCCCGGTAGAGTTGGTGACATCGGCCTTTTCTTCAAACTCAAATGAAAACGGTGACTCTGTCGAGGGTGTTTCAGGACTAAGAGGTGAAATGTGAGATAACTTGAACATTAAATCATGAATGTATTAGATAGTGTATGACCTACGTATGCCTTTGCGATGGACCGAGGTCTTGCTCTTCATCTTCAAATGCTTTCACTGCCGGCTGCTCCCACATGGCGATTTTCATCAGATAGGAGTTGAGGATTACCAAATAATTCGGTTCGTAGTTTTCATAAAAGATTTTAATGCCGCTCAGCTCTTTCGAGCTCAGCGGCGAATAACTGAGGTACGCAGCAAGGGTCAAGAAATTCCATGCCCCGCCTCTGAGAGTTGCATTCTCAAACCATGAAAGGAGACACTGTCTATTTTCAACTGCAGTGTGGGAGTGCTCATCGCGGAAGACGTAGTCAGCCATTTTGGTAAGACCAGTTCGAAGTATAGGGGCACAAAGGTAGGACTTAGAGGCTCAAGTGCCTGCCTCGTTGATAGCGCTTCCCTAAGGGGCCACGCAATATCAGCGATATATCCCCTAAGTTTAAAGATGGACACTGACCATTGATGAAAAGAACGAGTACTGTGAACGTAGCTCATCATTTCGTGGGCATTGAATCGTGTCGCTCTAATATTTGGGTTCCCGGTAATTAGAAGAAGAAGCGGTGACCCTACGGGTAGTGTTCAAAAGCTCCAACGAATGGACCTCAGTTTACCAATAACTTATCATTGTTCCTTTAAGTACACTTACTAATTTTTTACTTAGTTAGGTATCTATATACCGTATTGTTTATATAAAGTATAGCCCTAGACATTATCTATATGGAAGTATTAGCTAGAAATTTGTAGCTTCAATGTTGGTTGATTGCACTGAGGTAAAAAAAAAAAAGTGTGACTTTTGTATGCGACCCATGACAACTTCCTTAATCCAGAGGTCGCTCCACTTGATTCACTTGTACATAGGTCTTGGCTTCTTGTTCCGCCTTCCCCTGTAAATCCCCTGAACTCATATCCCCCGCAATAGGAACTCCGACGACGTTATTCTCCGTTCGCTCTAGCCTGCCTGAAACGATCAAGTTGAAAACAAACCAGAAGACCTTCCAGATGGTGTCCAACAAAATCAGCGAGGATGATAGGATTGCTATGACGCGCGTGCCAGCTGGTTTAAGCATTGGCTTCTGGCAGATATAATTCGTCGAGAAATAACTAGTGTGGACGCCAAGTGCGGGAGCTGGTGTGACAGAAGGATCAAAGGTCGTAGTAGCGAGACTCATGTCAAGCGTACTCGTGCTGCCTCTGTCGTCGGACGAATTCTGCACCTCAAGCCATGCATTCACCTCGTTCGTCAAGTTGCTCGTAAGATTCACTAGTAGGTTTTGATCCGCGAGCATATTGGGGACGGTGATGTCCTTCTGCCCAAGGTCCGTCATCGCCGTGAACCACATTGCCTTGCCTAGGATGTTCACGCCGGGCCAGATAGTCGGATACGGTGACCCATAGTGTCCTACGCCGGTGCCACCGCCCTGTGACAATGATGGGATCGTGGTGTTAAGGCAGAGGTTATTCTCGGTGGTACAATATATCTGGAAGAAGTCATCACTTATAACCTCGTCCGGGCCCCCGACGCTCGCAGTGGACTGCCGCGTTAGATTGATGAACGCTGAGTACGTATACGCGGAATACATATTATTCGGGTCACCCCAGGGCCTGCTGAGCGAGGCGTTGTAATACGCGTGGCTAGTCACGAGGTAGTACAATGACAGCAAAGATTCACCCCAGAATAGGCTTGCTGACGATGTCCTGTTTCTAAGCAGGAAGTGTGGGCGGTCGTCTATGAGGTTGTATGCGCCCTCAAGAATAAAGTATGTGTTCGTATTCTTCTGTTTTGGCGTTTCGACCTTGATGGCGCACATCGCTTGTGGTTTGATGTCAAGTCCTACGCGTGAGCGGGCATTGAGGAGTGGACCCTGGCTAAATTTTCCGTTGACGGTGATCCCGACACTCGTTACGTTGCAGTCATTTAGGGCGTGTTCGCGGTATGGCAAGGCTCCCAGGTTTTCTATCGTCCCATTATCGTACTGTTGCCAGACTTTCCTGATGGTATAAGGCAGCGCATAGTTTCTTGTGAAGATCTCGCTGTTGACTGGAAGCGAGGTGTAATCACATGACACATTCGTGTTCCGGCGCAAAATGCTAAAGAAGCTATTAGAATGATGCTCGGCTCGCAAGGCGCGGATGTCATTGGTTGTGGTAGCGACGAGCTGGTAACTTTGGGTTATTATGTTGACGAACAGAACGCTTGCGATCGCGATAAGCACCCCTACTGCTACAAGAGGGGTAAGCCACTTGTAAGGGTATTCCCTTCTAAGTGGATAGGAGAAGCGATACATAATGTCGAGCGGCCTAGCAACTGCTGTTTAGTTCCTTTGTTGGCACGATCCTCAGACCTTTTTCACGATTTCTCGAAATCCATTTCTCAGGAAGACCAAGTTTGCTATCTCGAAGCGACACACTCGACATTAATATTGCCAATCAGCCCCCTTATTCTTTTGCCTTTCAATGATCAAGTCCTATTCAAGGGTCATTCAGGCCAGCTTACACCGCACTGGCTCGGTTACTTCTTATAGAACCGTGGTCCGATTCTAAGCCCCCAAATCCTAAAATTCATCTGACGCGCCCTAATCAATTGTGTGCAAACCAGTTGCACCCCATGTATCAGATCTAATAACGGAAAGATGTTGCGATATCCGCATCCAGGGCTTACGGGTTTGAAGCATCCTTTAATTTTATTCTCGACATTAAGTAAAAAATCTACAATTTTAAAGGCTTCTATACCAACGCTACAACATTTGTATGCAATACTAAGTAGTAGCATTTAATCCCTTGGCTGATATTTGATAACCTAAAATACTGGCACAGATTACTGCAAGGTGAAGAGAACCATTAATAGAGCTGACGAAGGAACCTTCGTGAATCTGACTTATAGATAAATTATGGGTTTCCTCTCATTTAAACGACTCGGCTCACATAAATGATTCCGTCCTCATCACTGCCGTTTATGACTGATTAGGCTCCTTACATCCATAGAGATTAAGGCCTGCTTCGGGCTCCTATCATTTATTCAGGTTACCAGCTGCTTCGAAGTGAGAAGGAGAGAGCAAAGAAAATAAATTACTGTCAGACAGCAGACAGGCTCCTCCCCACTCTCGCATGCGGCTTCGAAAGCGGCATAAGAAGCAGGGGGTGGGTTAACTGCAAGAATGGTTTAGTATATCCGTACTCGGGTATCATAGTATTAGGCAAGAATGCGTCAATACCCTTTACGCAACTATTTAGCAAACGTGTTAGGCCGGTAATCATCATATATCAAATGCAATACGTTTGAGTTGACTGAGAGAAAGCAAGTGTCTTTGATTTGATACGTAAACTTACTCAAGATAGAAATCGAAATCCAAAGAGACCTTCGCATCCAAAGCGGCCTTCGCATCCTCAGGGAGGCAGCATGATGCATCTGTAAACAGTAGTTCTGTACATGGCTTATAGACTCGACTCTGTAGCTGGAATGGCGATGCTGAAGCAGCGCTGATGCAGCTTGCGGCAATCAATATAAGATACTTCATTGTAAAAAGAGGGCCAGAATCAATGTTGTTCTCAGGGAAACTTTTATGAGTGGGATGAGGCCTCTCGATATTCCAGGGAAACAAGACCTCTTTATATCTATGCGAGTGAAGAGCGAGCTGAATATACCTGTCAATACTGAGGACTTCTGGGTGCTGGTTCTCCGCTACATGTGGTACAGAAAGGCCGATCACAATGTTCGACAAAGAGGTGAGCCTGAAATAATTCGCAACTAGTCGTTTTTGGTATGTCCAGTGTAAGCTGTAACTAGAGCCAGATAACTTGCAATGGGTCAGATGAATTCCCGGAGATTCATGATTCGCTTCGTGTGGTTACTCACGGAACACGCCATTGAGCCATCGCCGAAGTGATGTTTCAGCGGCTGGTGATCTAGAAGAAGCCAGTCAGGCAGCTAGCTGATCAGCATTTACATTCAGTGATATCCTCGTACTCCCACTGGGTGGCGCGCTAGTAACTAGGCTAACAAGCTGAATGCAATCGGACAATTAGATCATCATGCATTTATTTGATTAGTCACCGTTCACTTGGCTGCTATGGTTGAACAGATGCCCGGGGAACTGCAGTCAAACTTGAATGACATAGGAGCTTCTGACGACAAAGGTTTTGAATTGAAGTTATTCACAGTATAATAGGCGCCATATGGTTGCTAATATATGTGACTATTTGGGTCCTTTCCGTAGCCTTGGTGGCTTGATGGCTGACCTTGACTCTATATGCAATTGGATTGCCTTCCTAACTTCCCGATATGTTTCAGATATGCGGCGGTTTTAGCCTCATGTCAGATTACCTATATCGCCGCGCCGAAAGAATTAGCGGACCGGTCAAGTATCTGGTCTATGCTTAATACGCAATAGGTATGTCCAACGCCTCACCCGGATACGAATAAGACTACATAGAAGTCATCACTATAGACTGCCAGCTACTGTCGTACAAGGACATGCGATGGTGTTTAGCAGGTTCAGGCCGTGTAACAAGCGAGTTGAACGTGATATACATGGTGTCTCGTCATATGTTTCACATGAAGTCATAATGGTGTAGTGCTATCGATAAACTGACGGCCTCTAAACCGTCTTCAAGGCCTATTTAGGATAACCGGTGAATAATTGAGCAAGTGAAGATCACGTAACATCGGGTACCATCATTCATGCCTACCGGCCGGAACTAAGTCTATATCTTGTCATATACATGGAAAGTACTGATGATAGAAAAACAAGAAAGAATATCACGGCGGCATAATTTGTTCCTAAAGCTTGCCTTTTGGGAACACCTGCGTTATCTACGACCCCTACTCCTGAGGATGCCGTAATTTATCACAAGAAACTATAATGATAGCGTCTTTACTTATGAGACCTAATTACTGTTGATATGATGACTACATATGTGGAGGAGCGTACACACAAGTGTAAAGTTACTTTGGTAAGCTCGTTGACACGGATGTGGGCATGCCACAAGCTCAGTCGCAACAACCTCACGTTCAGCCTATGGCAACACTAACTCGGACCTCATTTCACAGCGCGGTGATACTGCAAACGTGCTGGTACTGAAAATTATCAGGTATTATTGCCTTTTCTGAGATAATTTCTAGCAATCAGGGGGTTTTTGATTAGTGATACTACGTGTATATGGTATAGCTTTGTCTCAGCCTAGTTGAAGCTAGATGATGTGTAAGTTGACACACGTAAGAAAGGAGGGTCACGAAATTGCTATCAGATACGGTCTAGAACGAACGAACCTCCGAAGGTACTCGTTAAATTTTCTGGACAATACTCACGAGCTCTGCCAATAAGGCACGACGCGGTTATATGAATCTATTGTGTTCCCCATGTACATCACGTAGAAGAGCCAGGCTCAAATAATTAGTAAGGGGCGAAGCATGAAGTAAATGGCGTAGATGACTAGCAAGCCACATGATAGAGAAGTTGGTAGTGACTAGGTTATGTGCAGTTTCCGACAAGGTTAGATGGCCAATACTTCAGACCACTCGCTCGAAGTAAAGACCGTCCGCTCCCGTTACCCCTTTCCAACCGGGTAAACTTAGTTGTTCTAAAAGGGTCCATTCTTTCATCCAGTTGTAAGCTGCCGGGGCGTCATCATCGAATGGCGGCCGGAAAGGCTCGTGGCCTAGGTATCCGCGCACTGTCCATCTCTCAACAGCCGCAGGAAGTGCTTCTATTAAGTTGGGCCATGCAAAACCGTTAGTGGAAAGATATATGTGACTGAACTCCAACTGTTTCAAGTTGGGTTGAGCATTAAAGAACTGCACGAGTGGTGGTGTGCCAAGAATGATGCCTCCTAATTTAAAAAATTCGAGCTGGGGGAAAACGAGCGGCATTCCGCCGTTCTTATCCGTCCCATCGCCCACCATCTTCAACAGAGAATGAGTGCCCCTTGCAGGAAGGCTTGGCCACTTACCACCTGCCATGATCGACAGACGCCGGAGAGTTGGCTGGGCATGTTTGAACAGCTCGATAAGGAGCTCGGACTTCTGAGCTCCCACATATAGGAACTCAACGTGTGTTATGTTCAAACTAATGTGTTGAAGACCCGTGAACACATGGCGTATGGCAGGAGAATCATGAAGATGCTCAACGAAGAATTCTTGTACGTGCAAATGCTTGATTCTCCGGTCCGCGGCGTAGAGTGCTCGCGCGAGGACCTCGAGGAAAAAGGTGCAGGGGAATGAGTCCCGGCGTTGCACGTCAATTTCGTAAGAACTGCAAGAAGGTTTGGAGTCAATGTCATGTCACTCACTCACTGATCGCGGGGAGCCAATTCATACTTGCAGGATTCCAGGTCTGGGAAAATAAAGGTCCCATCGAACTCCCAAGGCTTGATCACAATTTTCTCGAGGCATGTCATAACACGAAAGAGCCGTGCGAGAGCGGCTTCAACAGCCTCTTTGTTCTGCTCCTGTTCCGCAATCTTCTTGTCCCACATGGCTTGAGCGGATTCGAGGACATCTTTCTCTCTGTCCGGCCGCGCTCGCCGCCACTCCAGGGCACGCTCAATTGCGGCTTCCATGTCGGCCTCATCCTCGTAGCCATCGAGATCGAAGTCAGCCTCATCGACGGGCTCATGTTCCTCATTTTCCACTTGCATCAAGTAATCCTGCCAGAATTTCTGACGATAGTAGGCGGGGTCGAAAACGAAGGTCTTGGTGTGGCACGCCAAGGAACCATCTATGACCTCGTCAACCGCTTCAGCCAAGTTGCTGAAGTCGACGGTCTTGGTTCGCCCGACACGCCCGGGATCGAGTACAGGTTCGTTGGGACCAAAGTTCATGATGGCGGGTTCATCCTGTCGCCGGCCGGAGAACCTGAGCATCTCGAATAGTGGCCGCGAGGCTATGGCTGCGAAGCGCTTGTTTACTAGGCGCAGAGATATCAGATCAGGTGTACAAGGAAGGAAATATGCTATCCTTGACAGCAATTCAGATGGTAATGAGTCCATAGCCGGTGGGCTATGTCAGCTCTGGTCTACCTATTCCGACGATTACCTGATTCAATGGACAAAATGAATGAAACTTGTACAAACGAGCCTGGGCGGTCAAAAGAGATCAGGCGTGAGTCACATATCGTACCATCACACTTGTAAGTATGTATGAATCAAGGGTAAGAAGTTACATGTTGTTGGTCGCCATGCTCTTACTGTTGCAGGTATCTGCTTATTATCTCTTTTGTAGATGCAACACTTGGGATGGCATAGGTACTTACCTGTACTTAGCTACGGTGTTGGTTGCCTGCAGGTCTACCTACAATAGTAGGTAGTACCTAGGTAGGTAGTAGGTACTAGTCTAGGGCCCACACAACCCACTGAACCCCGCCATCTCTGCGAACCTCCTATAATTCAGCATTACGGCGCCTACAGAGGAGCGATAAAGATGTGAAGTGAAGTGAAGATAGGTATCGGATATATAGTAGATACCATTGATGATAGGATGAGCCAACGCGGCGGAAAGTGCTCTGCGAACTTACGAGACTGAAGAATCCATTACCAGCTTCGAATAGTGTAGTCAAGAAAGACTAGGACGAGGCTGTTGATTACCTCAGTTATCCCAGATAGTCTTGTTATGTTGCATAGCACTCTTGTTCACCCGCAGTTGTCTCATACATCCAACCTACTTATGACGTGAACCGCCTATTCAGAACGGAGAGGCAGATCAATACCCTACCTGGACCTAGGTATTTACTGATACACATGCTGATTTAGTAGGCAATGCAACACTCACTCATACTGTCCTCTAACCAGGGTCTATCCTATCATACCTAGTCCACACTTGAATAGATTTATTGAGTCAGCCATTGGCATTCTTAACTACCTTAGAGACCAAGGGAAATAGGAAAGATGAAAGAAATACGCAAGTGCCGTATCACAGTCGGAAGCAGACATGTGGTTTGTAGATGGTTATGCGACTTCACCTAAACCATTGCAACTGTCCGAGTCATGTGTTATGCCGCGGCGGCCGGCGGGTATTCCTAGTAGCACATTGTAGCATTTCAAAACCCCATTTTTTTTTTTTTTATTTCCCCGTCAAGCGCTGCTTGTTTTCTACTTACCTAAGACAGCCGCAGGGTTGGTTCCAGGTTGTTGCTCCCAAGTCAATCCAAGCAAGCTCTGCATCTCCTCATCTTCGTGCCTCGCCTCGCCTCCCCTTACCCACATATTTTTTTCTCCTTCGTCGAAAGCCTACGAGAGCCACTCATAATCTACCTAGTCTTAGTCTAGTGTCCAAGAGGGTCCGAGGCATGAGAGGCGGGCGACAAATTTCCCATTTTCATCCTATTCCAAGCTTGTCTGTCGTGTGTCCCTCGGTCGCCTTCCATCATCATCCACATGTAGCCATCCGGTGTGCTTCTCTTTGTTGACTTTGCCCCTTCATTCTCCCTTCCGCCCACGCGAACAACTGCCTGGTATATCTACAGCACAGCTACAGCGCCCCCCTGCACCTCCTCCCCCAGTCTGCCCAGCACTCCCCTCCGACCTGGCCACGTCGCTATGTTATGGGCCCCATGGACGGCTGTTCCTACGTTTCTCTTCATCTGTGCTCTCCTAGCCTGGTGGCTCATTGAACCGAAGACCACCCATCTCAATCTGATTGTCGCTGTCGGCTGTGCCCTGTTCTACTGGGCCATCGCCCCAGGCGTCGCCCAGTCCACGCTTGCTCGCGTGTATCAGCTAACCATTGCCATCGCCGCTTTCCTGCGACTCGACGCCTTGATTTTATATCATGCCAACATGCTTCTAACCGGTGTCGCTGTCTTGTGGTATGCGCAACACTCCCATCACACCCCTCACGCCCTACGCATTGCGACCCTGAGCCCCTCTCCTCAAGTCACTCGTAGCTAACCTAGCTGCTTCTCCATAGGCTAGCCCACCGCGCTGTCCAGACCCTAAGGAAGTCCGTGACCGATCTTATTGGTGTTCTAGGTGTCGAAGTTCCCGATGCGCCCGATGTCTCACTCGCTGGAATACGCGCTGATGCGGCTACCTTGAATTGGACGCGTCCCATACCTACTCGCCCGGTCGCAAAATTTACAATCCAGGTGAATGGCGTGAATGGTAAGTGATAAAAGCCTACGGAAACGGATTGAAAGGATGGACCGTTGACATTTGACATCTCAGTCGGTGACTCGGCAAATCAAGAGACGGCTATCACCGTGACAGGTCTAAAACCGAATCATTACTACAACATTCGAGTCATCGCCGTTGGTTATAACAACTTCCAAGCTGGTAGTCGAGTCATTCGTTTGCGAACATTCGACAGAGATGGCCGACCACAGCTCGGAGATGGACGCCTTCCTTCGAATTTCGCTCCCGATGAACAACAAATCGCCGCCCCTAACGATCACACTGAGGAAGATGGAGCATCGCGTGGACCCGCGGCTGGTGTCGAAACAGCATCCATCCCCGATAGCTCGTCCCTGTCTCCCCGCGATGTGAATCTGAACCACACAGTTGGCAGGCGCAATACTTTGACGAGGAAGCACTCTCCGTCGACAACCAGTATGGAGCAGTCTGCGAAAGACATTATAGTGGAGCACTCAGCGGAATCTTTGCAGGAGCTAGGAGCGAAATTCGAGAGTATTCGTAAAGATATTGAAGAAATTCAATTACAGATTGCCAAGGACGAAAAGGAGCACAAAGAGTTGATAGAGGAGTTGGCTGAGGAGAAGAAGGTGAAGAGGCGGGTACAAAAAGAGAAGGACGATACGACTGAGAAGTTGAAGCGCGAGATGGGGTCAACCGAGAGGGCCATGCGTAGTGCACAGCAGAGGAAAACCCAAAAGGAGAAGCTGTTGCGGGACAAGGAAGCAGAGCGACAAAAACTTCATCTGGATATGGCAAAATGGGACAAGGAGATTGCATCTATGCACAAGCGACAGGGATGTTTTGAGAAGGAAAGGGACCAGTCCCAGGAGCAAGGCGAGGCGCGAAGCGAAGACCTTCGCCAGGAAATCGCCCAGGCCCAAGCGAATCTTGCTCAAGAAGAAGCCGAACTGAAAGAGAAGGGTAGAGAATTGAAAGAAGCAGAGGACCAACGGAAAAAGCTTCCTGGCGGAGAAGAGAGCGAGGAGTGGCGAGAAAAAGACGCCGAGATCAGACGGAATTGGGACATCCGGGTGAAAGACCTACAACGGCGGATGTACGCCGCCAATCGACAGCTTCGGATGGTCAACGACTACGAGCGTGTACTTCAGACTCAGATAGCAGCGGCCCACCAGTCTGGTCTCCCCTTTATGTATAACCAGGCCAACTCATCCGGCGTTGATTTTGATCTCGCAACACAAAATCAGCTCAAAAGACGAAGCAGGAATAGCAATTCCCTATCCGCAGTTGCGATTCCTTCTCCTGGCCAGTCGTTTGCGGCGACAGATCGTCAATATGGTGCACCATCACCTTTTCCCGCAACACGGTCGACAACTATATCACCATTCGCCACAGGGCCTTACATGGATGCCAACTTACCTCTCTCAGCTCCTCTAGACGAGGAGAGCTTCAAAGCTCTTACGGGTGGTGCCCCTCTCAGCCCGACTGCCACGTCTCTTTTACCCGCTGGCATGCTCGACGATCTCCTTGATGATGATCCTCCCAGCCCTGGGTCTCTTTTGCCCCGCCATAACACCTTCGGGTCCGGTATGGGCCACGAATTTGATGCGCAATCCCCAACATCCTCGATCCGATCACCTAGTCTTATGTCTAGCCCACAAAGCTCCACGCAACATTTACCATTTTCTCAATATACTGGGGAGAATAGTGAACGCAGGTCTCTGAGGGGATTCCGGGGCGACTTTGGCACGTCTTCGTCACCAATACCAGCGACCACCCAAGCTTCCCACCGCACTCGGTTTAACTTGCCCTGGCTCCATCGAGCCCCTAAAGAAACAACGGAGGCCCCAGCACTGGGGACACTGAAACCCAATGAGAGCCAGTCTCTTCCCCGACAGGCCGAAGATGGCGAACCAGCCCCTAATAAGCGAAGGATCAGCTTCTCTGCTGGATGGAACATGTTCAACCGAGTCAGTGCACCACCGAGACCCGAGGTAATGGAAACTACTGCACCTAGTCCAAGGGGTCTTGCATCACGACGGCTCGGACTTGCGACAAACACAGGTAGTCTAGGTAGCAATATTTTCTCGGAGCGCGATCCCAATAGTCCCAGACCTCTCTCAATAGCATCATCCGAGATTCCTCGTCCCTCTACGGATAGCGGTTCTATATGGGGTCGAGGGTTGCAACCACAGAGCCGATTGTGGGCTCCGGAGGAAAGCCCCTGGAGCGCATCGCGCAACCCGTCGCGTAGGCCATCACTGCATGGGTCTCCTTCCCAGCTGAAGACGACTCTTGCTGATGCCGACGATGAAATCTTGGACGATTCTGAGCTACTTCATGCCTCGCCCAGTCAAGTTGGCATTATTGGAACCAAGCCAGTCAAGTCGCTAAGTCAACGTCTAAATCCGGCTGCACCTACATTCATGGGCGGCCTGTTTCGCCCAAAAGTAGAAAAGGAAAGAGAATCAGATAAGGAAACGAAGGAATCTAAGGACAAGTCTAAGGGTAAAGGGAAAGAAAAGGAAAAGGAGTCTAAGGAGAAAAAACCTCGACAATCCTTTACTTCTGTCTCTGATATGGGCACTACTTCTCTTGATGAGTCTCCTTCAGATCCTCGCAAATCCAGAGATACGTTCTCGGTTGATTCCCCTTCGATTACGGAATCACGTGAATCCCTCAGCCTTGAACAACCGTTTTCGCATGCGCTATCTGACCTAGCAGGAAATCTTGGGGTCAAGGAGCAGGAGAGCGGACTCAGGAAACTGCTACGTAAGGGAAGCTCTTCCAAGTTCAGCTTTTCTTCAGTACGGGGACTAGGCGGCAAAAAGGGGCCCAACAGCGTCACGAGCTCCGATCGCAATGTATCTGGAGACCGCACTAGCTTCGATGAGTTTGCGGAAGATAACAGCGCCCAGTTCCTCGGCCGCAGCTATGACAGTTTGCATAGTAGCCCTCTGATCGGACCAACCAGCGGCCCTCGGTCAGCTAAGGACAAGCCAGTTGGCTGGGGTTCGAGGTTCGCAATCAAGAAGAAGCCAGGCAAAGAAAAGGAGAGCTTGGATATTGATAGGGATGATTCAGTTTCGAGCACGGTGCCAAGTACACCAATCGTGGAAAAGTAACTTATTAGGTGTCGTAGTAGTCTTACAATGACAGTACCAGCCCATATAACAGCCTATGTGGAGTCCTCAATACCACTCATTACACTTCAATAAATGTGCCTCGTACAATAATTGGTATTGGGATTATGTCTCTAATCTTTCCCCCTTGTATTGCGTTGAATTATCAGTATAAATTGCTATGGCTAGATAATCTTCCACTCTCTTCGAGGGGTATCGCAGTGCCCAGAAAGGTTGGCGGTGAGAATTGGCAGTATCGTTTCGTGGTTCGAGCTCTGGTGCCAAAGCAATGAGGATGCTTCCATGCCAAGGCGAGATCGTCCTCTCGTAACGGCGAAATAAATAATCAAGATCCCTCAAGCCACCGCCGTACAGGACCCCTTAGCCACCCAAAGAATTGACGAAAATAATTGCGTGAACGGCGTCTTCGTAGACCGAATTCGCCTAAGCTTCTCGGCAAACCACGCCTGTCTCGCAGGGAAGATCGGACCAAGCGCTAGGGCGTTCGAAGCTCCGGCTGGGAATCACCGAACGCCGACGTGCTGCGACGCAGAGACGAATTGAATCGGATTTCACACCTCTGTATACCTGCCCGCTTAACTCCCACGAGCGCATTCTCCAAACGAGCGAATATCGACCGATATTTACCCATTCCAACTAGTTGGACCAGACGACACTAGCTAAGGCCGGCTCATGGCCGTCGCAGCCGCAGCGCAAGCGACACCGATTACGATGGCGCCAGTAGGAGGGACGGGGAGCAGGAAGGAGGAGGAAGAACGTCTACCGATGCCGTCGCGGAACCCGCTGCCGCTATCCGCTAGTCAGGAGGCGCAGGTGCGGGAGGTGTTCAATGCGCGCGTGAGGGCGCATTGTGCGGAGGATATCAAAGGTATGCTATGTTTTACCTACGGGGGATCCGGTTATGCTCCTATACCATACACCTACTACAGACATATTCTCACAATCCCTTTCGCATCTCCAGAAATACGAACAATCTCCTCCCCTAGCATAGATAGTCCTTCCAAATCATCAATAACAACGAACTAATCTTTTTTTTTTGTCCCCTTTAAACAGCGTTCGCAGACTGCGCCCGCGGCCGCACCTTCAGCGTCCCGTTCGCGTGCCGCGCGCTCTCGCACGCCATGAACAACTGCATGCTCGCGCACGCGACGCCCGAAGAGCACGACCGCGCCCGCGAGGACTGGTTCGCGGCCCGCATGACGCGCGCCCGCGAGCGCGAGCGCAAGGAGCGCCGCAAGCTCGAGCAGGAGAAGTTCCATCGCGAGTGGTGGGGTCTGCCGGATCGCGACCCGGAGGATCTCCGGCGGGAGCTCGAGAAGCTGGAGCGGCCGGAGCGCATTGGGGGCGCTGTGCGAAGGCGGGATCCTCCGCCTTCTACATCTACATCTACGCCGACGACGGAGGGTGGGGAGAAGAGGTAGTTGGTGCTGTTTTTTGGTCCCGCTCTAGCGTTTGTTCTCAGAGCGAGGTCAGATTTCGAGAGGGTGGACAGAGAGAAGGGGAAGAAAAAAAGGGGATCGTTGCTTTCCCTTCTTATGACCCCACGATTATGTATATTTATCTATTGTTTTTTGTTTCACCCTATGTACCTAGTCCTCAACTGTATATGCATCGCCGGCGTTTCTCAGTTTAGTTCAGTTCAGTTCAGTTGCATTTCAACTCCCATTTCTTCCTCCCTTTCGTTTTGCGCTTGTTTGCGTAGATAGGCAGCGAGCTAATTGGCATAGAAAGTTTAAAGAAAAATTCACGCTCTGCCCTTCGCCCATCATATGAAAGTATTGTTTACTAGAGAGAAGACCAAATTGGCCTAATTCCCACGGTTTCAAGTTTTAGCCCGTTTTCACAGCTAAAGAAAGTCGTTATTATATCAGCCTCAAGTAAGCTTTTCTATTCTAAATTCCACGCGGTCGCAACTCAACGAGCACATTTGGTCTTTTACAATTCCAGATGATAATTATCTATGATCTAGCGTGTTCGCTCTACCTAATACTTTTTTTGGAAAATCCGACGCCTCTTATCTTTTAGACCCTGTAAAGTATTGCCTTTTCATTGCAATAGAGAAGACAACGTAGCCTTTTATTTCATTTCTAGGAAATTTCCCATATCTTTTCTCTTCCGTAGTATCATATCTATCCAGGTCTTCTGATCTCCTTCAGCTCCTCTAACTCATGGGTCATGTCCATTTAGGAAAAGTACTCTAATTCAATGCTTCCTTAGGAAGCGTCTTGACCTTCTCGTCGAATAGCTTCTTCGCACCGGCCCAGACAGGGTCATTCTGCCAGTCATTGAGCTTACGTAGATAGGGTAGAAGGTCGTTGCTGAAGGCTTCTGATGACTCCCGTGGTAATAGCGAAGGGAGATGGTCAATGCTTATGACACTTAACGGCTCGCCCTCAAGGCCCTCCACAGGGACCGTGGGCTTTGTGAATGTGGTGGCGACGGTATAAATTGGAACTGAATTGGCATCTATGTTAGTAACTGGACAGAATTCACATCGACAGTATAAATGCTAATATTCTGCTGATGTATGATTATTATGTATATCTTACCAGGGTTCTAAGTACGAAGTTAGTGATGAACAATCCGGAACAAAAAAAGGACAGGGGTGCACGAACGTTAGGGTTTGTAGTATCGGCTGACACGTCACAGACGACTGTAAGCTTTCGTCCTGGCTTCTTCAAGGATTCCAGGTTTACAAACTGTTGTCCAAAAGATTAGTTCATACCCTAATGGAGGCCAGTAAGGATTTACGAGGTTAGATCGAATATCCAGCAGAAATTTTCGTTTCTACCCCTCGTACACATGACATGACTCACATGGGGTATCTTAGATGTCAGGTAAATGCCTATCACAGCGATGTAAGTATGATGATCATTGAGAAGATCTTGAGGTTTGCTGAGGGGATGAAATTCAAAGTTATGACAAACTCACAGTTGACAAATATATCACTCTCGTGAATTTCCTGGAATGGGCCTCCCTTGGCAGTCTCTGCCATATCCCACTTGATAATTTGATCATCCGGAATGCCCGCCTTGAGACACATGTCGACAGCTCCACGACCACAGCGTCCCAGAGCACCTATAACGATTACGCGAGGTAAGCGTCCGGCCTTGGCTCGCGCGGCCTCGAGCCCATCCTTGATATCGGCGATCAGCGCATCTTCATTAGGGTAACTCTCAACACCGGGGAGCGGCTCGGTAGCGGGATGGGTCTGCTGCCAGGCCCAGTTCTTCAAAGCTAGAGCACTCCCCGAGAAACCTGCGCTGTATCCGAAAGCTGCCACTCTGCGACCGGTATTAGGGTCTTGGAGGAACTCCAGGTCTAGAAGCGTTCCACCACCACGGGGGAAGCGGGCAAGCACTGTTTCCCAACCACCCTGGCCTGATGAAAAGTAAATAAAATGTCCATCGTGGTTAAGTTATCTCGGTGGAATCGCCAAAATGTTGAATGGGATGGTAGCAGAGATGGTATTAGGGAGGCATACTACGGGAAAGTCAGTTAGCCTCTTGTGCCAAGAATGATGGCTCGCTCCCTGAATAGATCGGGTCGAATTGAAGTATGGAAGTGGGATATACTGACCCCTTATAACAGTGGGCGAATTGCACGTGGACATGCTTGAGAGGAACTGTACATTGCGTCAACAAGAGGGCAATTGATCAGCCAATCGGTCGTCTTCAGAATGGGTAACAACGGGTCTGCCACTTACATTCCTCCTCGGGGAGCTCCTTCAGGCCGACAATGATGTGGTCGGCGGGGGCCTCGCGCCAACTGCCGGTAGGAACGAGCGAGCAGCCAACAGAGGAAAACTCGTCGTCGTCGAAGATGCGCGCAGGGCTCCTCTCGACATTCACTGTGTAGCCGGCATCAAGAAGAGCTTTGGCCGTGGTGGGAGTGAGAGCGGACCGATGCTCAAGCGGCTTGTCCTCATGACGCAGGTGAAGGACTGTGGGAGCCATGGCGGTTTCGTGGTTTCGAATGATATTGGTGATGCAAACAACGTTGAGAAAGGGAATTGAACGAAACCGCACAATACTGATGAAGCGAACTGTCGCTGTTTGTCAAAGTCAACCTACCTATCCCACTAATACCCGTTGATGCGCAGTTGTTTCAGCAACTTTATAGCGGGGCAGCCCTCCCCGCGACGGGTTATCCAGGTGGGATGATTCACATTCCAGCGCCGATCTCGGTGCACCCCAAGTATTTCAGTATCCCACAACCCACACACTCTTAGCACAAGTGCCCAAGTCCTTTCAAGTTCGTTTTGATATGGCAATGCGGATCAACGATTAACGGGTTGCGTAGATACAGTATAGGTATAACAATGCATGCACTTTCAAGGGCCAAGTACATGTGCCCCTACTGTAGAAAGTACCTACGTAGGTACCTACCTATAGTTAGAGGTATTGGTGTTTCTTCTTTCTTGTATGAGTGAACTGGAGGTCCCTAGGTCTTGCCAAAGTTGCCGCTACCCTGACGCCGGTGAGGTAGGTACTGCTGAAATATTGCGATAGTGCCAAAGTGGCATTAGCGTTGACTTTTGCATTTCATCAGGTACCTTCTTCAGTTCCCAAGGGCGGGACAGCAAGAAGGAGGAGCACAGCAGGAAGGAGCATAGAAGGGTAGCCACATCGAGAGGAGGACGTGTTGATGGTAGAAGATGAATCATATCTGGACTTCTTCCCTTCGACACCGTCGTCTACCACTCCATCCCAACTCGCCCATAATTCATTATTCGGCGTATCAATAGCTCGAGCATACTTACCAAGTCGTACTCTTCCTCACGTACGACGACATACCTTCCACTACTTTCCATTACGTATTGTGCACTCATCTAGCCGGCAAAATGATGTCTCTCTACCTCGTCCTGCTTTCCACGACAGCCTAGGCAGCTGCTGTCCCTCAGGTATGGGTGCTAGATTCCAACACAGTGATCAGGTCGACCAGACTAATTCTCACTTCTTGATAGGAGGCCGGGCTGACCCACGGCTCAAGTTTCCATGCCGACATCCCTAGCAACTATTCGTACAGCGACATCCAGTGGAGTGGATTCGAAGATTTTGACCAAGATCAAGTCTTCACGGGTACAATTCAAGTAAAGCTAACACGAACCTCATGCTTCCGTAACGCAAGACGCTAATTAATGATGCGTTTGAGGATGTAATTGTTCAGATGAAACAAATCAAAGGAGCTGACTACATGCCCGGTTTTGCCCTCGACGCCGAGAATCTAGTCTCTGAACAAGTTAAATACATTCCATTCGAGGTAAGTCAGGTAGCACACAATCAATACAACTCATGGAATCACCGAAAAGAATGCCCTAACTTGCATGGCTATGTACCTAGACCATGAAGCTCCGATGTTTCAAGGCTCCCATCTCGCGTAAAGCCCTTATGAGAGGATTTCTTGGCTTGGAGGGATTACCTGACACAGTCATGTGTAGCAACAAGCCGCATGGCTGTGGACGGATCAGCTGCAGTTGGTATACTGGCATATTCTGGTGCAACAATGCGGATACTGATAGTGGCCCGCACCCCTGCAATATTTTCGGGCAGTACGCACGATATATCTACCATCATTGTCATACTCCGGGTGGTAATGGTCTCATTTGGGGCGCACTAATCGACGATAGAAATCGTTTGGAAGTCACCGTGAACGCCCAAGAATGCTAAGGAGACTAAGTCATGATTTTTGTTAGTCATTAAGAGTCTGAACCCCTGCCCTAGAATGTTATTCGAATGTCCTATAAAGTTCTTGTATAACTACAAATAGACATTATTTCTATCAAGTTACCCCTACTTACCACGTTGTCAGTGGTGTTATTGGCAACAGATTTTGAGTGAGCAAGTCTTTTTAGTTGTTCACTCGGAAGCCAATATCAGACATAACGAGTTGGCTTATTCGCACTCTAGGTGAAATGTTCGAATGTACGCGTACCACACTATCCTACACTCTCCTAATATATATATATAGAGAGAGTTCGTACCGCTAATCACAGATAAGTAACTACATATTTATCGACTCACAGTCAGTACGATTGTCCCAAGGCTTCCTCACGTCACTGAATAGCAAGTATTCCAACCTGGGTAATTGACGACATCAATACCCGTTGGAGTGTTGGCCGAATATGGCACTGCCATGAAGGAACGGAGCTTACAGATCGGCATCTTGTAAGCCTATCACAGCTGGGGATTGAAGAGAGTGCAACATGCGCTGTCGGAATGTATAGCCTGCCTTGCTATTACGTGTGCGAAAGTCTCACGTGCAAATGTCCGACTATGGTAGATGGAGTGATTGCATTCTAAATCCCTGCGATAGTTTAGTATATCAACCTACGTCTAACCTGGAGAGATAATTGAAGCAGTCTTACATCAAACGTCGCCCTAATTCTCCGTACCGCACCCTCACTGCACCTCAGTGTGCGAACGGGCAAATCTTCTTTATCGCCGACCCAATCCAGATATTCAGATTGCATATGCTGACTTGTATAGGGAGATATTGCTTTGAAGCCACAGTAATCCACGGCAACGTGGAATCCCTCGAGACTGGCCTCGACAAGCAAAGGCTCTTCGGAACCAGGCATGATGTAGCCAAGCTCGATGTCTTCGCCGTGCTCTGTCTCGAAGGCGAGACCGGATATGTATTTGACGCCGAAGAAGTCGATTAAACTGACATGTATAGCCTCGATTTTCGACGAGGGGAGTTCAATTTCTGCTCGATATAACTGGCGCGTGATATCACCTACCAATTCGGGATCAAGGCACTGGGATGTCTCGATGGATGTCCACGTAGCCTGAGCACCGTCTGCTAACTCCTGGGGCCAGTCTGACTCCGATTTCCCCTTCAGCTCGCTCAGTCTAGTGATTTCATGAATAGCCTGCGTCAGCGGTCGGACTGTCTGCTTCCATATGCGAAGCCGGTTTCGCTCTCCAAGGCCAACCATATTATACTTGATGCGTGCTTTCGAGGACCGATAAAGCTCCCGCCAATCAATGCCAGCCTTCTCAGCTGGGCTGAGCAAGAAAGCATCGAAAAAGAAGTCCAATTCGCGACGAGCCCAGAATCTACTCTGGAAGAAATACTGGGAGAGGCGGGTGGCGGCTATCACACGCGATGAGAGGCGAAAAGACAAAATATCCTCGGTAGCTACATATGTCAGGATGATTTCTCTCAGCTCTACTGGCAGGACAGAGAATGGGTCGAGGGACCTAGTTGAGGAGGCTGTGAGACATATGGGTTTTGCATTTAACGATGCTGTATCACCAGTCTTTATTCGTTGTTGAGCAAGTCGAGTCGTCAGCTCGGGGACCTCGAGCGGGTCACGATATGCGCTCGGGATGATGAGACTCGACGAAGAACCTATAATTACAAAGTTGTTCCCCCTGGGATAATCCCTTCTGCTCCCAAGATATAGGCCGCCGAAATTGTGCCCCCAGAGAGGAAGGGTTGCTGTATGTGGCACGGAGAGTAAGATACGCCACAGCAATTTGAGGTTGACCGGGTCTGGCGCGGATGCCTGCTCAACTAGCTTCCAGCAGGAATCATGGAATCGAAATCCCCAGGCATAACTTGCATCTTCCTGAAGCTCAAGGGCTCCTGGCGGGCGGAAGCCTCGAATAGTGATCAATGACAGGGGATCAAGGCCCTCGTCATCAAATCGCTGATAGGCCTTAGGCGGGAGGTATTCGATCTCATCCCCGCGGCGGTGGAAGGTAAGTCCCGACAGCTGCGGTTCCTGACTCTCCAGCCCTACGCAGTATATCGCCCGGTAGTACCTGGACCATGGGTTGTGGTCTGGGCTGATCCTGCGACTATCCACGCCGCATAAGCCGCAGATGAGTGGCGCGGACATCTCATTTAACTGAGTTTCGTACCTATTCCACGTGCCACCAGCAGATTCTAAGAGAAATGTCCTACCACGAAAGGCATGTGCAGGGATGGTATTATAGACATGTAGGTGAGATGCGAACAGTTATTCAGGGGAAGGGGATGTATAGGTAGTTGGGGACTGAACGGTACGCGGAGAAGCACTGCCAGACGCCAAGCAGCTGATGAGCCTCAGAGACATAATCACGTGATGTTACAGCTGAAGTGTATTGGACCAGGTAAGAGACATGAACAGGTGCTAATTTCATTAGTTACAAGTTGATCTAAATATATACCATCCCAGCCACTGCAATGCAGCCAGCGATCCGAACATGCGCACAGGGATCACGTCATGTACAAATCTATCGTCAAACGGTTCATCCCTTAACCGTCAAGGCCATCAACATAGAAGCAGTCCGTGCCTGACCCTGCCTCGAATGTCCTCTCGCCCAAGGTTCCAATGAACTCGCAAAGCTCTCCTTGCCTGAAGTTGACGCCGTGGCAAAACCAGTAGTCGTCGTCTTGGCGCTTCGCCTTCTCGAAGCTGCCAGTGCACGCGTTCATGCAGTCCGAAAGCGAGGTGGCCGCGTCGTTGTGCTCTTCTCGCTGTTCTGCCTTCGCGGGTGTGCAGGTCGTGTCGCATCGCACGAGACCTAGGTAAGGGTTGCCCCAGGCCTTCTCCTGAGTCGCGTCACATTTGCAGAAGAGGTCGTAGTCAGGGTACTTCACGACTCGTTAGCATGGATTCTCGACGCACTCTCCGCTGTTGTACCATGCGACTGCATAGTCTATAAAGCCGAACATCAAAGACTTGGGCAATACGTACCCCGGTGGTTTGGTTGGGAGGCTCAACACACGGCGTCGGTGTTGGGGTCGGTGTTCCTGAGCATGGTTTTGCGGCTACGAAGCTGGGTCCAGCCATCAGGGCTAGGACGGCGACGCAAGCTTTCAATGACAGAGACATTATGGCAGGTCGTATGTGAGGATGAAATGACTGCAAACAAAGAACAAGCAGAGAATGGTGTACGTTTTGAGATTGCGATGACACTAGTATCCCTTTCCTTTAGCTTGAGCAGCTTCTCAGCTTCTTATATGTAGTTCCAGACGGACAAGCTTATTTGCCATGCGGCACAGCGCAGCCAGCCTTATAATTAGTTGTCAGCTGTGTCCAACCTGTTCATTGATCTACATGTACACCATTCGGTTCGCATTATGGAGGATTGCTCACTATAATCTTAGATCTAGCACTACTCCAGGTTCAAATCCAAGTCTGCCCAAGTCCCTTGGCCCCCACATCGTTTCATTTTTTACGAGGTCCTACGCCTCTACATGTAATCCAGGGAGTTAGCAGATCTCATTACCATCGACAGATCTTTTCCTCAATCGTTATGTCAATGTTGTTTTGCGGTGGAGTTTGCGGAGGGCTTGCTGCCGTCTCGTTCCACCAGAACTTACTCCAACGATGCATTCAGTTCTGCAACATTGACAACATTCGCTCATTCGGATAAGAGAAACATAACTATGAAAACGCGGTACTGCTACAAGCGGCAAGCTAGTCGTCTTGCTAATTAAAGTCTATTGTAAAGGCTAGCATAGGGCTCTAGGACTTACTTAATGTTTCTATCCTTGAGACGCGCTACTTAAACAATCGGCATCATCTAATCTTAGCTAAGCCTCTCAGGGTTGTCTTGGCATCAACAAGGAGTAGAATTAGGGTACCTAAAAAAAGGGCAGAATACGACGTATTGAGTTACCAGGTGCGAGGTGAACTTGTACCGAGCAATATGAGATGATGTATCTGTTCGCGCTACTATCACAGAGCCCAATCATCTAAATGGAATAAGGAACACAAATTGGTTTCACAGCTCTTACACAAGGGTGAATTCTGCATTCGTCCCGGTCGCCTGCACGTCATTACCTAAGACAGAACATGCCCACCCTGTGCCCTTCGTCTTGGCAACAAACACGAGAAGCATGTCTCAAAACGTCATTGCATTCCGCGGCAGTCATCTCAGAATCCCCAATGCCGATCCCTACTGTAGGGTTGTAACAGAGGAATGAGCTCGCCAACCCCCGTTGTGCTTACATAACTAAGCTTGGCCGAGATCTACGGTCATCAACCGAACTGGTGTCAGGAGATCATCATCTTTCTATTGTCAGGCAATACACGATGACAATGGCCAGCCATCTCACCAGCGGTGGCTCTCCTATCGCATAAAACAGTATACCTACCACGGTCAATCTTCTGATCAAGTTGACGTTCATCTCATCCCACGCGCTCTCTATCTACACAGCGCTATATAGAGGCTGTTTTGCGGTTGAAGCCGGCGTCAGCGGTGAATCGTCAGTCCAGCGTGACCGGCAGAATCCAACGGCCAACCGGCCGGCAAGCCGGGTCTTAAAAGGGTTGGCATTGTAACGTCGCTGAGCTGTACCAGAGTCAACGCGAAGACTCAGGATTATCCGCACTACCGATACTGATACCTAGTGAGAACAGCTCCAGGGCACCGAGAATGGGGCGTCTATCTGGGTTATGGAGACCGCTGTACTCCGATACTTGGCGCGTCAATTCAAATCGCTTCGTTAAGGACTTGTTGAAGCAGGACACGATGACTTGCCTCGGATCCTCGCTGCTGGATCCGCCCTATCCACCCACCCCACCAACCTCGGCAGGGCAGACAGGGCAATACTGGCCTAGGGCTTATCGATTAGATCTGACACGCTGTATCATCGCGACTAATGCGTTAGACTCAGGGGTACGATCCCAACAAGCCAACAAATCAACAATTTCGGCATCAGAGTTGTTCTTGAGTCTCTAGATTGAAGCTTGTGATCGTGACCCCAGGAGTATCAGTCATGATTGATATATGATCCGACCTAAATGAAGCCTCGTTCACTGCAGCACTCATCCTGTTTATAATCTGCCGTGATACCTGAATCAGAGATTGAAAAGAAAACCGGGCGTAGTCCGTGAATTGGGTGTTCGTTATTCCGTTGATGACCTGAAACATACCTTAAGCCGGTACATATAAGTCAAACATGGCTTCGAAAGCCCCAACTTTCCCCGGTTATGCGCCCATCTCAAACCGCATCTTCATCCGGAATGAGACGAGTAGCTCAGATTTGGAGAATGCTAGGAGCAAGACGACAGCAAATGACCCAACCACAATTCTGATATATGGGTGGGGAGATGGAAGCCCTCGCCATGTTGGTAAGCGAGCTTTCCATATCTCCTCTCTTCTGTCTCTGTTACATAGCATGTATTAACTCCCAAGACAGCCAAATACTCCGAAGGTTATCACGCACTCTTCCCCTCAGCCAGGATTGTGGTCATAATCAACCCGATCTTTGCTGCCACAACCCAACTACTCCCGCAGCGTACAGAGGCCATGCGCCCTCTCATTGACACGTGCTTTCCCACCAAGGATGACGGGTCTGAGCGGGTCATTATGCACATCATGTCAAACACGGGCGGCATCTACGCCGCGGCGACATTGAACGCATACCGCGAACGCCACGGTCAAGACGCTGCGTTGCCGCACCATCTATGCGTCTCGGACTCGACCCCGGGTAGCTTGAACTTTACCTCCGAAGTCTGGCGATGGAGCCGGGCAATGGCGATGGGCGTTCCCAAGTGGTTTCCCCTGCCCTTCAAGTTCACGCAAGCCCTCTGTGCGGCCTTCCTGTCCCTGATGAATTATCTCGCGATAGCCGTGGGCATTGAGCCGTCAGGCGTGCACAGCGCTCGGATATTCACCGAACACGGCTACGCGACCCCGAAGGCGCTTAGGTTGTTTTGCTATTCGAAAGAAGACGACCTGATACACTGGGAGGACCTTGAAGAACAGGCTGCTAATGCCAGGAATAAAGGATATAGCACGGTGCTAGAAGAGTTCAAGGGCTCGCCCCATGTGGGACATATGCGCATGCACCCAGAGCAGTACTGGGCTACTATCCTCCGGTGCTGGAAACAGGCTATGGCGATGGATGAGAAAGCATGAGGGTTGACGTTTACAGTCGTCTACCTACTAATAGTATGGACATCGCAGATATTTAATGACAATAGACTTACCCATATAGAGTATAGATACATGTATATACACATATGATTCAGATTTAGCATGCAGAAGAACCAGTAATACCAAGATACTATTTATGAATTGTTAACGGTGACTTCCTTGCTTTCACTAAAGCCTTCGGAACTGAGTTCGCCTGGGCGCTAACGAGTGGCCACTTCCCAAAGACCATTTTCTTCAACAGCAGATAAACAGGGAATCATGAAGAAGAATTGGTGTAAACTTGGACAAGGAAGACCCAACCCGGCTCGACGACGGCTTCCCAGATGCATCACCGCAAAGCTTATTTTCAGCGCTTAAACATCTTAGGCCGAAGTAGCATATAATCACCCTACCAGTACTATATCTTCTTTTCTATCTCGCCGTAGCCCATACTTAGGTGCAACATCATCCCTATTCATATTGGGCAAGATTGCTAGCTTTCCAGAAAGAGCGAGGCGGGAAATCAATCGAAGAAGCTGTATGGTAACCTTCATTGGGAAGTATATTATATATATAAACCTACAGACTATCAAACGGGCAGAGGAACTCGCTGTGTACCGTCACGCCTGACTGCCATCATGATTGCCTATCTTCTCTATTCCTTTACAACATCATCATTCACACCTCGTTACTATAATAATCAACAGTGCTAGCACCAGGCTCCCAAGCATGGTATGTTTTCTTCCCAAGACTTACAGCCAGTCACCCTTTCGTCCACCACCGGAACCGTCACATATATTTGATAAATTTACATGAACCTGAAGATTTCTTGCTTGTGCATGCTAACCACCTGGGTAGAGATATAGTATGCTTTAGGCCTCACTCTGAACACTGTTAAAAGATTCAGGAGAGAGAAAATGTATGCGCTAAGTGACTCCAGGCATTCAAGATGCAGAAATAGCACAGCACGCAATACGCAACTAACATAACCAAAAGCATCAGTACATTAAAATCGCTGCCAGACGACAATCACATCCTACACCCTTTCACGCTTGCTAGAGGGGAGCGAATCCATTACACACCCAGGTAGTCAACCCTTTTTTGCATGACCAGTGAACCCGACAAACATCATGAACGACGAAAACAAGAGGGGAAAACCACTGGACACGGTGGAAGCGTTGAAAGACTTTCCGGAAAATAAGGTACCGGTCAGAGCGCCCTTTCGCCCAACAGACCGAGCCAAGTTGCCCATGCCTGATGTCGAATACCAATACTACATGGATCACCCGTACATGAAACGCCTGATGGCCGCTATCGAGATTAATAAGTTCAACCGGTTCCAAATGTTGCTGCTCTGCTGGCGGGACTTGCCCAACCACTCGCTACCCCACGGCCCGCCCGAATATCCCATGGCGACCGTCGAGCCGTGTCTATACCGTGCCATCGAGTACAACAGCCGGGAAATCGTCGCGCTTCTCCTCGACCAGGGCGTCAAGATGTGTGACCTAGTTGTGGACGAGGCCGTGGAGCACGGGTGTCCGACGGCAATGCTGGCCGCATGTCTTGACAGCAACAGGCAACTTGCTAAAGTGACGCGAATGAATGCCGGCGAGAGATCGATACCATGGGATAGAGGAGAATGTAGTTCTGCGCGTGAGCATCCGACTTACAAACTACTAGATCAGCAGCTGGATTATATACGCAGGTACGCCCCGTACCCAGATCAGCCAGATCAGTATGTTGCTCCTTTTCTGGAGCATGGTATAAACACAAAGGGTGACGAGGTTCTCTGGTCGTTATAGTATGCTAAGTCTCCTACCCCGCTTCCTCCATCGACGTTATAGGATCTGCTTGTTCGCTGACTGCATTAAGCCTCATTTTTGAGGATGAGGTTGATAGGCAGGAGGTGATACCGTGGTACTACAAGCACAACCGGAATCCCAGCGCTCAAGCTGTCGTAGAGCTGCTTTACAAGGTTAATTACGGTAATGACGGTAACGTCGGCGTTGACCGTTTTCTCCTCGCTCAAGATCGACGGTACTGGATATGGGCGGCCTCGGTATGTCGCTATCTCCTCGAATACGATATTGGGCTCAGGGGTGGCAGCACGAAGCCGCCTTTATGGTATAAACACATGGACTGGAGACTTATAGCGATAGAATTGGCGCAGGCTCGGCAGCGGAGGATGGGGTCCGTAGCCAACGCGGAAGTGCATACTGAGACGCTTCGGTGGGTTGCCAGGTCAAGAGAGATGCGCCCCTCTATGTACGTTAAATTCGGGCACCCGGACGGAAGACCACGTGAGTCATCAGAGACCGCTGAGCAAGAATACGTTTCTTTACTTATGGTAGAGTAGCGCGTCCCTGGCCTACAGGAAATAACGATCAGCAATTGTCCTCGTCGCGACTGAATAACGGAGGTCAGACGCAGGCGGCTACTGATAACGATTGGGTTTGATTGAGTAGCCAGATTTTGGAATTGGAAAAGTCTGCTTTGTGCTCTGAGTTCTGATAAATTACCACAGGAAAGGGCGAATGGTGTGTATTTGATATCTTCAATTACGGAGCCAGGTTCGGAAAGTTCCAGCACTTCGTAATTGTTAATATGTAATCAGCTCAACCTCACGCGCTCTCTATATTGGACACTCGCTGCGCTAGAGTGAACCTTTGATGGCTTGGCCCTTGCCAGCTTCAACTATCCATAGGCTAAGCTCACAATTGTTGGATTTTCCTTAGGCACCAACTAAGTGGTGAAGGGACCTTGGGCATAATACAAGAACTTCCATGGATCTAGAACGGAGCTCGCATTGTGTAGCTGACATTGCCTGTCACAATTGATATGTAGTCCTACATGTCCAGTCAAGTCTCCTACTGTTTCGTAGACCGATTTAGGTAGAGAGAATATGAGAAACATTGAGGCCGCCCAATCTGACCTTTAGTTCCTTTAGCATTGAATGCGTGAGACGAAGCTGACGGTTCACCGCCACATGCAGATCACGTAATGATCATGTGAAACAGGAAGGATTGCAGCGCAACTGGGAATCTGACTTGCCTAAATGAAGATTGATAGGTATAATGTAGCTACTATACCTAGTTTTAGATCGATGTTTACTCAAGGGGGACACTATCGAGTTATCACTGTGATTAACCAATGACTTTGTCATTTAGCCGAAGCCACTCAGCCTGGTGCACTACATAAAGAAACAGACCGATAAACGACCAAGGTAGGCGGGTGACCAATCTCCTCGACATCATTCGGTGAGAGCAACTTGAACAATGATTAAGAAGACTAGGGGCTATGTTGGCGCTCTACGTAATAATCTGCTAGGACTGTCTCATTTCTATTGGTTATCTGGCCATACGAAGGTGTTAAGCGCGTGGGAAAATACTGTTAGATATCGCGGTTGTTCTATAATTGCCATTCGGTCAATGAAGCTACTCTAGAGAGATACTATTGATTCATCGCTGTGATAAACTGATCAATCCATCACGTATGCGAAGCCAGACGCCTTACTGTATTGGATAAATAAACAAGTTGGGAAAAGCAATAGAATAATTGTAGCACAGAGTTGAAGGTCACCTAAGTGGAAGGCTGTTTATCAGCCTCAGCGAGTTTCGGAAAGGCAATTTTGAATACAAGATTGTATACATTGAGGAAGCACAAGAAGTGGTGAAGCGCCACAGAGCATGCTGTAATTGTGGGTTAAGCTACAGATCCCAGATTGAATGAGATAATTAGTCTCAATCTTATTGAATTGGCAACTATTCGACCCTCACAAATCCGACATGTTGTCCCATCTCAGAGGCTAGGGGTATCAGCCTAAGTGTATACAAGTAGACTAAGTTCGGTCACATGGCACAAGGGGATTCGACTTGACATTCAAGCCATCCGACAGCAGTAACAACTAGTACAATTTGAATAGCTTCGATTCTAAGCGTTAGTTTCGGGCCTTGGAATAATGGCATACCTCCTGGTGGACCCTCCTAGGCCTACCGCATCACCAAGTCCTATTCCGTGCCGAGTCACCAATATATATGAAGCTATCTGTGCCCCATTCTTAGTAGCCAACAATCAAGTGATGTCAAATTTGGATATCCCTTAATTACCTTAGAGATAGCTATACTCTACTATTGGGGCTAACTACGATCTTCACTTCTACAAATTGTTATAAGTCTGTATCTACCTCGTGAATCATAAAATATCCCAAACTGTATGCATTCGAGCATATTCCTGTTATCGCCGTGAAGATTGTCGCGTCACTCAGCACCACCTGCGTGGGGGTTATATTGGCATCACCACTCAATCTACAGAAAACGACAAGAGTCCCGCCGCCATGCACTAACAATCTCGTTGAGAAATATGTTGTACGGCTATGTCGGTAGTGGCGCTCCAGCAATTTGATATCATTTCTGTTAAGTATGTCCACATATCTTATGGCTCACTTTTGAATATTCACAATGTTTTTACTGAAAATCCACAAGATATTAGTTGCGAAAAAGGTATGCTCAATTTGTCTGCTCCATTGTAACAATGATTGTAATTTTGAATAAGTATACTGAGCTTTTATGGTTGATCCCTCCCCCCAACGTCCTTGAGTCTTTGAAGGGTAAATGTGCTGCCTGCTGTGCGGTAAGCTTTTGACATGTCATACACTTACCTGAATGTTGTCATTGACTCCTATAACAACATCAACTCGGCGGCACTTATCTCTTGTATTCTGCTTTGATATCTTCTACGTTAGGTAACCGAGACCGTGCCAAGATTTCATAAGCTCTAAATCGGCCTGCGAGCACTCGAAACATACTGAATCGAGTGGTATAGTGCGGACAAGGAATACTGAGTTCGTAATAGATCGCAAATCGGAATTTACTTTGTCTTTCAATTCAACTTCAGAATACCCTCTCATTTAACATGGGGAGGGAGGGAATGCCTGTTGAAATGTATATTCATCTGTCTCTCTAGACTCGGGTGACCTATGCCCCTCGAATCGCCATCATCATTGGTTGCAGTGAGTGTTATAACAAGCACCGGGCCTATAAAGAACTAAGATCTCTAGGTGGTTGACATAAGTGTTCTGGTGACGTATGTAGGGTAGATGTACACTATTGTAGTAGAGGTACAAGGCCTGTTTGGCGAGCGGCCAATGAGCGATACATATGTCCTCTACATCGTGGCTCAGAAATCGTTTAAAACAGCCCCAGCTTACTTAACCTCGGGGGTGGTGTGTGGTGTTAAAATTTGATTCATGCAGGACACTCGCATCATTGAACCTATTAGACGCAGGTAAGCCCCACGTAATCTGTGGCTCATAATTCCTCTCAGCTTGGGTTTCAAGGTGTTTCCTTCGGTGAATCCCAATGCCTATCTATACGTGCCGGATGAGAAACAGTGAGATGCTCACAAAATAGCACATATGGCTCATCATGAGGAGGGTATTCACGCATCTCCAAACACATGCAAGCACACGTAGGGAAAACACCTGAATCTCGACGGGAAATTATTAGTCTTACTATAGCCTACTACGTACAGCTAATTAGTGACTTACATAAGATAAGCACTTCGCGGTGCGCACACCACTGCGCTTAGCTACCTGTCTACTTATGCTGTTGGCCTGCCAGACAACAAATGCCGGCATAAGCGCTGCCTCAATGCGGCACAGCATATATGCACATATGATGAATTAAAGAGGCTATGTGCCAGAAAGATCTTCTGGGCCCCAAGAGCCTGTTTACCTATCCTATGATAGAAGACAACATGTTGCGAACCTCGCGTGCGCCATCGTGAATGGAAATAAGGCCTTATCTACCTCTGAACTATAGAAATGGGGCGAGAAGGAACTTACGACACCAATAGTGCATTCACGTACTAGTGTAAATATACGATGGAACGGAACGTGGAAACACAAGTCTAGTGTTGCGCTAGCAACTGCCATGCTCGAAACCTGGGTTGCTGTGGCTATGAAAAATGGTTTGCTGGCGCTAAGACTCAATATATCAAATTGTCAAAGAATGGGGAAGCCGGTCCTCGGGTACGAAAGCGAGCCCGATCAAGGATAGTGTGGGCGGAGTTTAGATAAGTGCGGGAGGTCCAATAGACCTTAACGTTGCAACATTGATGGTGACGAAGTTGTAATCTTGAAGGGAGAGGGCGAATAAGAATCAAAGGGCCGTGGCTGTGCAAGGGGCGTAAGCAATAGATAGTATATAGTTTCTGGCGAGTCTGGGTCATGTAAAAGGAGGTACCAGGACCCCTGGATATGGGTATGTTCGGGATCGCAATCGTCAGGAACGATTCCCAAAGGACTGATCGATCTACCGCGTTCTCTTACCAAGCTTCAACGGCGGAAGGCCTTCTGTCATATCATTGCACTTCAAACGCGCGTACACTGCATTAACATTCTCACGCAGTCAGAAACTCTTCCTCCTCTTCCTCCTCCTCTAGCCACCGCCATCTACCCGATCCTCCGCCCCCCCTGCTTATGCGGGCCGTCATAGCTTGGTAGTGGGAACTGCCAATATGGACCCTCGAATGGGTACTAGTGCGCGACGATGATAATTGAGATACCCTACTCTTCTGTTCCCGTAACCTAGTACAAAATGAGGGTTTGCTGTTCATGGGGTACCGGGCGGGCTTACTACTGGACTATGTAATGAGTGAAATTCCTCTCCATTTTTTTTTCCTGGGTAGCATAGCAATTTGACTTTCAAGTTAATTCATCAGTTTCTGTTAGCACCTTTTCTTCTTCTTCTCTTGCCTTGGTTTATCTAATTCCTTTTCGGGGTTCGAGCGAGGAGCGATTGTCGCTGGTTGAGTGTCGTTGATACCATAGTTGACGGGAGAGCCATCATGGACGGCCCAACACTTCTGGCGCGGAAAAACGACCCGTCGTGCAAGTTACCGTCCCCGCTTAATCCTAGTAAGTTCGTTGATTTTCACGATTTAAGAATTGATATTCCCTTTGTCTATGCCGGAATTCAAGTTTGTGACTTGAAGACCTGAAAGATATTGTTTGACCCCTTGGCGGAGCACGGTTGAATGTTCAACTGGCCTTGAAGCCAAGACCTCTAAGAGCTATTACTAACGGAGGCGTCACCAATATAGTTCCGACGGACCCGATCGTCGGGTCAAAAGACTTCTACCATGTGAACGTTATTGTATCGGGAGCATTGGCTGTCTTCTCTATCGTGGTGACATTCGCCTTGATATGGCGGCACATAACACACATGAGCCGGCCGCGGGAGCAGCTATACATCATTAGAATCTGTCTCCTCCTTCCCATCATCGCCGCAGTCTTTTGGGTGGGAATTTACATCCCGCGATACTACGTCTATACGTACGCGATAGTCGTATTCTGCGAGCCGGTGACGCTGATGTGTTTCTTCCTCTTCATCTGCGAGACGCTTGCTGCGCCCATCTCGGGGCCAGCGGCCTCGACTCCGCCCTCGCGCCGCGATGTCTTTTTATCGCCGCTCGTCGCCCGTGCTCGATTGAACGGGGTTTCGGTCACCGATAAGAGCGTGTTCAACCCCTTCCGCTTCAATTGGTACGGTATCGCGCAGAACGTCCCCATCATCTGGGCTGTGGCGTTCGCCATTATCGCCACCGAAGCCGCGGGCGTATATTGTCTGACGGCACATGATGTGCACCACGCGCATATATACCTGATTGTGTTCAAGACTATCAGCACCTTCGCTGCACTTCTCCACGTCCTCCGTGAGGTACTACCAGTAAGGGCAGAAGTCAAGAAGCATAGGGCTATGGCGAAGCTTTGGGGTTTCAAAGCTTTAATCTTCTTGCAGGTAGCGCAAGATGTGAGTTCTTCCGCCCCTATATTCGAGTATAATTGGTTACTCGAGATGAAACCCATATCAAGTGAGAAGGAAACACTTTAGATAAGATAATACCGAGACGGAGTTCACTCAAAGGAGATGTACTAATATGGTGCGGACCATAGTTCATCTTTTCAATCATCGACTCACGTGCCCCGCCCGCTATAACAGAGTCTACCAAGATTAGCCAGGTGGACTTCATAACCGGAGTTCCCGCTCTAGTCGCGGAAATCGAGCTCGTCATCTTTTCAGTATTCTTCCACTATGCGTATAGCGTGGGCGTGTACCGGCTATCAGACGAGCAGAAGCGTGCAGGAGAGCATTACAAAGGATATGGCTGGCGTCTGGTGAGTTTTCATCGAGCAAAACTACTAACGAAGGCGAGCTAACGAGAAAAATTGTGTGTTTTTCAAAGATTTACAAAGTCTTCGACATCCGTGATGTTTTCGCCTTGATCCAGTTTCCTTTCCACATCCGCGAGGAGGTAGTGAGTAAAGAGGCGGAAATGCGGACCCTCCAAACAAGTGAGAACAACGAGGCGTTGCCGGAGAGAAAGTCGCCGTATCAGCAGTCTATAGAGATGGAAGCGGCCACGCATAATCAATAAATCCTAGGAGACATTAGGGAGATAGAAGACGATATTTACGCCACGAATATTACGCAATTACTAACTTACACTCATTTGCCGCTATCGTTTATGATTGGCACTGCATGAGAGGCATCATATGGGTACCATTGAACGGCAGATTTAGTCATCTCAGCAACGTTTAAGACGCAGCACAGTTCCAGCAAGCCCAAATATCATTCTAACGAGAGGGTTGGGTTGGGATACGATGATTTTATTAAAACTGCCTAAGGGGGGTTTGTTATGCATGTCATGTTCATTATCTGGGACGGGTTGTTCTGTCTACCATCACCCTTCTTCAGCTTAAGCAAACACACTGTCCAATTCGAATGCGTTTATAGACTCCCTCCTGCTCGGATCTCGGGAACACATTGATACCAACAACTGCGGGCAGAGTCAAATATCGCATGATGAATAGCCTGTTGTAACGCTCGCATAGGGGAATGTCGTTTGCTACTCAGATGCGTGTTTAGGATAAGGACCACAGGGGGTGCAGCATGAAACACGGCTGCTGACAGATGCCGGCTGAGCTTTACCCGCCTCCCTCACATCAACCAGGCCAGGCTACGTCTCAAATGGCCAGCTCAGGCCTCGCTAACCGCCGAAGGATCACGAGTAAATTCAATCACGCTATTTCTGGTTTTCAGTCACTTCTCAGGTGTTGTGTGTTGGAATATGAGATTGGCCTGTAAAGATTATTGGCTGGGTATTAAAATAAGCGTTTCGCTAGATTGTATACTAATTTGACATGTGTGTATGTAATCCGTGACGCTGAAGCCTGAGCCTCGGCCAGAGACTATCTACCACCACAGGCTACGTCGCCACGTCCTATACCTGTAGTTTGGAGAAAGGGGATCAGGAGAAGATTGGATATGTGAGCTTCTACTGGCAACCACCGCACCCTCACCTCGATGACTCAAAATGCGTCTCTAATTCAGTTATTCGCCAGTGGCTTTAAACTCTTCACAACAGGGTGTAAATCATCCCCATAATGCATAAAATGGTACATCAGATAGAAAATGGGTGCTTAGAAATGCTCCTTCCAGAATCGGAACTTGACTTCTCTGCAGGTTGCGGCCTTGGCAGCCTTGTGGATATCACGAGCTTTCAACAGTGTTAGTAAGAATTAGACTAAAAGTGAGGAGTTTGTTGTTGTCAACTTACCAGCTACTGAAGGACCGCAGAAGTATACACCCACTGTAGTCTGCATACTACCCTCAAGACCATTGATGTAGCTTCGGTCAAGAATTCCATTCCGCATCGCTTCGAATATACTGCTGAAGTTGGGGCGACCAAAGTTGGTCCTAGCCTTGAGTTCAGTTAAAGGATCAACGTCCGAACCAACACTATTGAGCACAATGTTTTGGGCTGTGTCGACGTCTAGTTTCTGTGTCAAGAAGGTATGGATCTTGAGGAATTCAACGCCATTGCTGCCTGGAATACGGGCAGCTTCCGCACTTTGTGACTCAAGTGACGAAAGAAGTGTCTGGAACCATTCGAAAGATCCAGTGTCCTTGCACACCCAGATGAATTCCACTCGGCGGAGACGTGCCGGTGGGTTAGGGCTATTCCGCAGATGCCAGATGTTCTTGAGAATGGATGCCCACGGTGTGACACCAATACCGGTACCAATAAGAACTGCAATCTCGTTGTCAAATACGTCCTCAGCAGGTGCACCGTAAGGACCGTCAATGCGGAGGACAGGCATTTGTTGGCCGTTCTGAAGCGCGACTTCGTACATTCCCATGGGATCTACACCCTCATACAGTTTAGATTGAGCTGAACCGGCACCAACGGCATCGCCCAAGGCTCGTGTGAAATCGCCTACTTGTCGAATGTGCACAGAGACGTAAGGATCATAGGGACAGGATGTAATGGTAAAAGGGTGCCATTGGTAACTTGACACACTCGGCACCTGTAAAAAGAGCCACTGGCCCGCCTTGTACTTGAAAGATGGCTTCTCAAACTGAATTTCCACAACATCTACAATTGATTAGCAGGCTATTGTGTATACGGCGTTATAGCTACTCACCATAGGGATGGCGAACCACTCTAGTGATCTTGGTCGGGCGCACCGCTCGAATCTCACGATAGAGTCGTTCGATCAAATATAGTCCACCAGCAAAAAGTTCCCATCGCCAGCCCTGGTAGCCGATACAATGATTCCAGAAATTGTCTCCGGCGAAAGGTGAAACAGGCTCAGCGGTGTCGCGAACAAAGCAGCCGACAGCGTGGGTGTACATCCCGAGTAGGAATGGAATGAACAAATGATGCGTGTACCAGAATGTCTCGAAAGACTGTTGTCGAATACGATGATGAGCCGTTGTGTACATTAACAACATGCAGAAAAGCATTATGTGCCCCGTTATGCCGCCGGCCTGAGTATAGTGGATTTCGATGGCCGTCTCAGGTCTGACCTGTGTCTTCTCGACGTTATAAAAGCTGAAAACACATTAGCAGGGGCTTCTGCGTTGTGAGTTGGTCCTCGCATACTTGACATAATGCGCGGCTACATGCAGCAGTGTGAAGAGCAACATGGCATATGCGACCTGGCGATGGAACCAGATATTCTCATCTAGCGGCAGAAACCTGATCTTGGGCCGAATCCATCTTACTATTGTGCGACATACTGGAAGCAGAATGAAGGTAGTGTCAAATGATAGAACGAGACCGGCGCCTCGCGAAATCCAAACTGACCACTTTAAGCCATTCAACGCCGCCAGTCGAGGCTCATTGGCTTGCTTATACCTGATTATTGGTTAGAATACGAGGGTGAGCAAAAGGCTTGGAAACTGCTAACCATCCGAACGCGAAGATACCCCAGTGAAACCCCCAAAACAGAAAATGGAAAATGAGTTTACTCGCAGTAAACTGCTTCTTTGTCAAATCGACGAGACCCATGGTGACAAGTATAGTCTGTCACTTCGCCAACGCACGAACCCAAGATTATTGTCGACCTGCGACAGTACTGGCGTAAGTCGATTGGGGTGAGGAGAATGGCGACCGCAAATGATGTATCCAACGACTACCGTAGGCGATGCGAACCGATGTTCAATCTCGTATGCGTTTCTCACACCCGTTTTCTTGTCCTCCTATCCTCCAAATCTTCTTGAACGCCTCTTATCCAACCCCAACAAATAAAAATTACCGGCGAATGAATGAATGAACGGTCTGAACCAGCAGTGAATGAAGCGAAAGTTGGTGGACTAGAAAGGAAGCCGACTCTTTCCACACACCCTCGAAGCCGAGTAGAGGGTGAATAGGATGATGACAACCGTGGGTAGCGATAAGATCATAAAGGACGAACCCAAGGCTTAGGGATTGGTGCTAATCCTTGCAAGTAATGGTGGTCAGGAGTGTGATGGGAAGGGGGATCCGGAACAGCAAACGGAGCGTTTCTGTTAACAAGGATAAGTTTAATGAGTCTTCGGATGTCAGCTATCTTGAAACGCGCGCGGGCACAGAATTGAGATGATGGTCGAGGTCGATGTAGTACAGTGTGATGATGAGGGCTATTGTTGCGAAGCTACATGTATCCAATAAAGACAGGGGATTCTGGCCTTCAGGAGAGAGGCAAGGTTGTGAAAACAGATAGGGTTTGGTTGATCAGACGTAAGGGGCAGTTTCGCAGACTGTCCTTGAGGTGTCGGGTTGCATGCGTGCCGTGGAGCAAATCGCAGTCTGCTCGGGTAGCGGCGCCGGAGTCAACTGGAGTACAGTAGATGAGACGGATCGGGTTTGATCTGCGAGAGGGGTGGACAAGCCAAAGCAGGAGTTTCGATCAGGCCGCCAGGGGACGCCGTACACACATTAGCTAGACTACGAACAGCTCTTTGTCGCCTAGTTGAGTAACTGTCAACAGAGAAAGATGGAATCAGGAAATAGATGGGCTCAAGTGCCTAATGTAAGACATCTTGCACATGTTGTGAGAAGTCGGCTCTAATAATGGCAAAGTGAGCGTTTCTGGATCCCAATTGACTGGTTCTGGACTGGTCAAGCTGGGGGCGAAATATGGAGCCGCGAGGTTGGCGGGCGGTTGTTCGTCGCCGCGGATTCGTCCATCGCAACGACGATATCGTGCGCGCAGCCAATGGGAACGGAGGAACAGGTGACATTGCTGCAGACGGACAAGGAGACCAGGGGGCACGGCGACTAACGACGACAAGGGTCCTGACAGGGGCGCTGCATGGGTCTGGCATGGGGTAAGACTGGTAGGCGACCCCATTTTCGTTACAGATTGGCCTCAGGTCTGGAGGGATTAGCGCGGACTCTGCGCGGACAGATCGGTCTACTGACTTCCCAACTGAGTACGTACTGACGTCGCGACCACGAGACGCCCCTGTTCATCCCGTATCTCGAGAGCTGATGCGATGCATCAAGAGGCCCATCTACACAGGCGTTTGTTTTCATTGCACAGGAGATCCTATCGAGTTGGTCCCTGACAACAAGATCTGGCCCCCGTATTGTCAATCATGCAGTGGGTAGTGTAGATGCCGAGCCGAGATCCCCTGCCAAGATGTGCTGAATACATTAGGTTTTCAGCGATCCGATCCATCCCAACCGTGTAGGTACATGTACGAGGTTGTTCACACTCTCTTGCGCACAATTCGGCAGCCAATGGCAAGGTGAGAGATCCTGGACTGTTTGTGCATGACCGAACTGGACAGAATCGTACGATGCAAGATCAGGCCATTTTTTCCAATGCAGGGCTGAACAGAGCCTCAAGAAACTGGAGTGTATATATTGAAGAGCAGCCAGACCTTGATTTTGAAGTGGCCTTATAATCATTCGACAGGTTCTCATCCTGCCAGCATACTCTCACGTGGGATCTTCATAATGAAGCCCGTACATATAACGACCTTCCTTCGGGGTGTGGCCGTCGAATAACAGGACCTAAGGCTGCCGCCAACGTTGGTTCGCTAAAGGTCACGCGCAGCGTCATGCACCCTCCTCTCTAAGCTCAGTTCGACCTGGAACAGTTGGCGGCTGCTGGTATTCAGCTACATCTAGACTATTGTACTCCTATCGACCTTCGACACAGGCTGGGGAAACTCAAAGGCGCCGATCGACCTTGATTAGATGTTCGTTCCGAAGCCCCGGGGTAGCAGAGCTGGAGAAGGATCAGTCTCAACGCCGGAGGCAGCGTCAGACATGTTTGAGCGAGAGCAGCGCCGGACATCAAGCCTTGTGCGATCGAATCTAGGACATGGCTGACCAGGCTGTGTTTGGAGACAGTTACCATCAGTCTCAGGGTATGCGAAGCCTACCGACCCAGGCAGTGATAGACAAACCAGTTCTTGATCTACCGTTTGCTGCACTAGGTACCAAAGGAGGAGCCTTGATACGAAACCAGCGACTGGCCAATGATTGTGTTTTGGCGGTGTCTAGGTAAATCGCAAGCCAACACGTTTCAGCCTAGCGCTTAAGTGTCGTTTGGCGGCTATTTCGTGAGGTATTCCAGCTGTCTATTCGCTTGTACTCAGGTTTGTAAATGAAGTGCTAGACGGGAATAGCATACATTAATCTAGATAGGTAGAAAATAAGAACATTCTTACGCTATTCTCTCTGTCGGATCAAGGATTCAAAGCTCCAAGTACAAATGTGCACCTTCCTCTGTCTTTCCTAGGTACCTATGTATGGAGGGCGACGAGTGCCAACCTTGAATTCCTACTACAGCTGCCGCCAGCTGAGAGCATGCGTCACGCTTTGATGTAAACCCAAGGGCCTGTGTACCTCACTGTATTCTGCGCTCTACGGTATTGTACGCCCAACTTGGAGTCGTAGGTCAGAATGCTATTCTGTGCGCAAAATACTCCGTAGGTACCATTGCTGTGCTATTTCCCAGAGCGCCAACCTTGAGTGGCGCATGCATGCGGCGTGGCTGTAGGAACGGCTGGGCGGGTAGGTACCTATGTATTTTCAGGTCCAAATAAGTATCTCATTACATCACTTCCGCCGGCTATATCCATCAGAGGACAAGCCGGCATGAACAGACAGGTAAGTATGCAATGAGCAAATACCAATTCTAGCCGCCTCTGATATTGGGATAGCGATGCCTACAAGTCTATATTTGCTCATCAAAGAGTTTCACCCCGAGTCGCGTTAAGTGTCAGCCACGTTTGGGACTGATATTATGAACCAATCAATCAACGCTGAATCCCCCAACTCCACGTGCCTAACCCCGCGGATACAGAGCGATTTAATGCGAACGCATCGATGACTTCTTCTAGAATGGCTCGCGAAAGAATGGACCACCGGTCAACAACCTTGAAAATACGGCTCTGAAGGTTGAGCCTCGGCTCATCCATCTAAGTGGATAATCCCTCGGCGAGCCCTTTGTCGAAGTTCGGTTTGCGGCTGGATGTTACCTGTTAAGATGGCATTTGTTCAGGGCAAGAACATGTCGTGTTTTCTATTGAAATCCTAAGTGAGACCTCATACTCAAAGCCGTAGGCGACTCGTATAGCTGTACGAAGGTGTCCAGCGCGTTCGGTGCATGCAACACAGACCATTATTTTATCCTCAGTTTGAAGGGAAATATCTCAACTCACATACTAGAGGGACTTACACCACCAGCAACGACCTTGATTTCAACTTTTCTTTACCTATAACGGGATCGTTGACATACTTGCGATGTGTGCGAATGCCTGAGCACTTACTTACCACTACAGATGGCTCAACAGCCGCTTGATAAGATAAAATATAAAAATGGATGCGAGACGTTCTGTTCATTTACCACATCCACGATCTGAGGCAGACATTCTTCCCTCTATTCTCCCCGTGTTCTTCGACGAATCTTTGATCGGGCACACTCACGCTTCAAGACTTGCAGTACTCCCAGCATGCCGGATACCAACTATCCTAGGCCCAATCCGCGACAGCTGCTAGCTTCGACGAGGGTTTCTCCACGAGGATGATACATGCGACGAGATTGTTATGGGTAAAGACGATAGGCCTGGGGCTAGCGATATGAAGTCTGATTATGTCCTGGAACTGCTGGCGGGCATCGATACCCTGAAATAGGCCCAAGGCGTCGCCATTCAACACAAATATTATGTAGTTGAGAGGCTGTCTATGAACGCTTCCTATGGACAGGCCAATAATTTAGTTGCTGGGATATGATACGCAATGTCATGCTTACCAATGTGGTAGCACTTGTTCTCGTCCTACTTCAAGCTTCGCCGCGTATTTGCTACCTGTCATAGCTCGGTGCAGACCTGCAATCTCTCGTCTCTTGTCATAGAGGGCCATCTCTCATGTAAAGGGTCTCCGGAGACCAAAGACATGTACAAGAACATCTCCCTTTAGTCTTGGGCCCATCCAAACACCTCAGGTATGGTTACTCGCCCTAGTAGCTTCTCACGTATCATTATCTCCGTCTGAATCTTTGTCACAGTCATATGTACTCCGTGCTTGATACAAAGAGCAAGAGACTGGATTTTAACAGGAGGTGACCGGACCGTCTTGTGCCTTCCGTTTTGCTCGCTCAAAGGCCTCACTTCGGCTGGCGTAAAGAAGACGGCCGCCCGTCGCCCGCGACAAAAGTCCCAGTCTGTGAAAAGTCACATTGTAACACTTTGTTTTCCTGATGATGTCGGTTTACTAACAAATGCTACTTTCAAGCATGAGCATAGATGGCCTCATGCGATGGATTTTCATACCCTGATGGCTTCTAATCCTGACACCAAGGTAAAGGGACGAACGTCATGTATATCTAGTCACCCTGATATTTGAAAATAATTCTAGACTTCGAGGCAACGGTATATTTGATCTAACGTTCATAAGCGCATGTAAAAGCCTCGCGTTTTCGTCTGAGCGAGCTGCCTTTGTGTTCAAATGGAGTAGTGTAATTGGGTAGCACCTCTAGGTACTGGTCCTCCAGCGTATTTCATGTACACGCTCCGTACCTAGCCTAGAATAATGTTAGGTAGCTTGTCAAATCCTGGCCATGATATTGAATTTCCGAATGGGTATTGGGCAACGTGAGCAAGGTTGTAAGGTTTGTAGGCAAATGATATATTTTAAACTACCTACTTAGTTAGTTACTTAGGAGGCAGTTAAAGAAACCACGGCCTTAAAGATGACGAGACGCAACAAGGGGCAAGCTTGAATGATTGGTTTATCATGCATCTTGAACTAAGCAATACAATACTTTTTATATGTGGGCAATCAATCCAATTATTCAACACCACGGAAAACTAACCACCTACCTAGGTACTTATTCCAAACATTCATTAGATATTCATCTTCTGGCGCGTTATGTAAGTACTTAAGTATATGTAGGCACACTACCTAAGTCAGTATAGTGGGTAGGTGGGTTGGAATAGTGGACAAGACAGCGGGAGGTTCAACAGCGCGGCGGGGCGTTAGGTGCTAACTGTACTGTACTGTAGGTACTGTACTATACTGTCCAGTGCACTGACAGACAGACAAGACAGGGCTCGACAGGCACTGGCTCGACTGGAACCCAACGCTGGGCTCAGCCACGCCAAGTAGCGCGCCACGTAACCCAGCCCAGTTGCATTACGTCGCTGGCGGCATTAGTGCAGGATGCACTTGGCTCCCGTAGAAGGCCAAGGCAGCCCGACAGAACAGATCCAACGTCGTGAGCGATACTTTGCGAAAACATCCTTCCCTAACAATCCTGTCCTTTTCCTTTTCCCTTTCTCTATCTTCCCGTCTTGATTTCGTTACTTCCTCCGCGATTGCTCTCTGGTTCTCTCTCTGGTTCTGCAGCCATCGCTGTCTTCCCGTCGTGCTAGCGAGATTGTCCTTGCGGTAATTCGTACCCGCCCGCCAACACCACACTCCTTCGAGGTGATTAGGCTGACGACGAGGTTCATGCGAGCCCAACATGGTGCGTAGGAGATCCTCCCCCGAACCTCACGTCCCTTTTCCCTTACTTACTATGGAATGTGAACACAGGGTATCAGTAGACGTCCGAAAGACAAAGCCGGAGGCGCGGGAGCGCAGAGCAACGCCCCCAAACCCAAGAAGGCCACTTTCGAGACCACCAAGAAAAAGGAGATAGGCGTTTCGGATCTAACGTTGCTCAGCAAAGTCTCCAACGAGGCCATAAACGAGAATTTGAAGAAGAGATTCGAAGGCCGCGAAATCTACACGTACATCGGCCATGTCTTGGTTTCGGTCAACCCCTTCCGCGACCTCGGCATCTACACCGATGAGGTTCTGGAGTCATACAAGGGAAAGAATCGCCTCGAGATGCCCCCACATGTTTTCGCAATCGCCGAGTCATCATACTATAACATGAAAGCATACAAAGACAATCAGTGTGTTATTATATCCGGAGAGTCCGGTGCGGGTAAAACCGAGGCCGCTAAGCGCATTATGCAATACATCGCCAACGTGTCAGGAGGAGAAAGTGGCGAGATCAAGCAGATCAAGGATATGGTGCTAGCAACCAATCCTTTGCTTGAGTCCTTTGGAAATGCCAAGACACTTCGAAATAATAATTCGTCGCGGTTCGGCAAGTACCTTCAAATACATTTTAACAACAATGGAGAGCCTGTTGGTGCAGATATCACGAACTATCTCCTGGAAAAGACGAGAGTGGTTGGCCAAATTATCAACGAGCGAAATTTCCACATTTTTTACCAGTTTGCGAAAGGTGCCTCGGAAAATTATAGGACCATGTTCGGTGTGCAGAAGCCCGAGACCTACGCATACCTTAGCCGATCGAAATGCTTTAATGTTGACGGCATTGATGATTTAGCAGAATTTCGGGATACTTTACAAGCGATGAATATCATCGGCCTGACACAAGCGGAGCAAGATGAGGTTTTCCGTATGTTGGCCGCAATTCTATGGGCTGGAAACATCCAGTTTATCGAGGGTGACGACGGATATGCAGCCGTTAGAGATCAGTCCGTTGTAGACTTCTTAGCATATCTGCTTGAAGTCACGCCTGCTGCCTTAATCAAGGGTATAACTATCAGGGTTTTGACACCCAGAAGTGGGGAGGTTATCGAGTCACCCACGAATGTTGCACAAGCCACCGCCACACGAGACGCGCTCAGCATGGCTATCTATTACAATCTATTTGACTGGATAGTGGGCAGGATTAATCAGTCGCTCAAGGCTCGACAAGCTACTTCTAATCATATCGGTATTCTCGACATCTATGGCTTCGAAATTTTCGAAAAGAACAGCTTTGAGCAGCTTTGCATCAACTACGTCAATGAAAAGCTACAGCAAATCTTCATTCAGCTTACACTCAAGGCTGAACAAGACGAGTATGCTCGCGAACAGATTCAGTGGACCCCTATCAAATACTTTGATAACAAAGTTGTTTGCGACTTGATCGAGCAAGTCCGGCCTACTGGTGTCTTCTCTGCCTTAAAGGATGCGACCAAGACAGCGCATGCGGACCCTGCCGCCTGTGATCGTACATTTATGCAGACTGTGAACGGCATGTCTAACCCCCACCTCACGCCACGGCAAGGCAACTTCATTATCAAACACTACGCTGGTGATGTCAGTTATACCGTGGATGGAATAACCGATAAGAATAAAGACCAGCTGCTTAAAGGTGTTCAAAATCTTTTCCAGCAAAGTTCAAACCAGTTCGTCCACACGCTCTTCCCCCAACAAGTTGACCAAGATAATCGCAAACAACCACCAACTGCCGGTGATCGAATCCGTACTTCGGCGAATGCTCTTGTGGATACTCTGATGAAATGTCAGCCATCCTATATCCGCACGATTAAACCGAACGAGAATAAGTCACCCACAGAATATAATGTTCCCAACGTACTGCATCAGATCAAGTATCTTGGTCTGCAGGAAAACGTGAGGATTCGACGAGCCGGCTTTGCTTATCGCCAATCGTATGAGAAGTTTGTAGAACGCTTCTTCCTCCTGTCTCCCGCAACATCGTATGCAGGCGAGTACACTTGGCAGGGCTCAGAAGAGGCAGCTGTTAAGCAAATCCTCAAAGACACGAGTATACCCAAGGAAGAATGGCAGATGGGTGTAACAAAAGCTTTCATCAAGTCTCCTGAAACGTTATTTGCTCTGGAGACAATGCGTGATCGGTACTGGCATAACATGGCAATTCGTATCCAGCGAATGTGGAGGGCGTATCTAGCGTACCGTGCTGAATCGGCGACTCGGATACAGCGATTCTGGCGCAAGAAGCGAGTCGGTGCCGAGTACCTCCAGTTGAGAGATCGCGGCCACCAAGTACTACAAGGTCGAAAAGAACGAAGGAGATTTAGCTTACTAGGTTCTCGTCGTTTCTTGGGCGATTACTTGGGTATCAATGCTTCCACAGGACCTGGATCTCATGTTCGGAACGCTGTTGGAATGTCCTCAAACGAGAAGGCTCTCTTCTCGTGCCGTGGTGAAGTCTTAGAAGCCAAATTTGGTCGATCTAGTAAAGCAAGTCCCCGAATTTTTGTTGTGACCAACAGTAAATTCTACATCGTGGCACAAGCGCTCGTCAATGGCCAACCGCAGATTTCCATCGAACGCTCAGCACCCTTGGGGGCTATCAAATTTATTGGCACTTCAACTAGTAGAGACGACTGGTTCTCTTTAGGTATCGGATCTCCTCAAGAGCCCGACCCTCTGCTTAATTGTGTACTAAAGACTGAACTCTTTACGCACATGCAACGCGCGATGCCCGGCGGATTCAATTTGAAGATAGGCGAAACTATAGAGTACGCCAAGAAGCCCGGCAAGATGCAGATAGTCAAGGTCTTGAGAGATTCGCAGCAAGCTGTTGATTTCTACAAGAGCGGTGGCATTCATACCCAGCCAGGCGAGCCGCCGTCTTCAGTCTCGTGGCCTATGCCGCGAGCCAACCCTGTGCCACCCCGTCCAATTACCAGAGGCAAGCTCATCAAGCCTGGTGGCCCTGGTGGTCGACCCTCAAGGCTCACAGGATCTCGACCCAACACTTCGAAGCATAGTCCGGCTGCAGTGCAAGCTTCCCGACCAGTCCCAACCCCCAGTGCGATACAGACGCCACGAGCAGTCCCAACTCCTATGGCGGGTACCAACGGTATACCTAGCCATACTCGTAACAAGAGCTCGACGTCATCTGCTCGAGCCCCTCCGCCTCCACCACCACCAGCTCCTCCTGCAAAACCAAAGATCATGGCGAAGGTCTTGTATGATTTTGCTAGTCAGAGAGAGAACGAGCTCTCCATTAGAGCAGGAGACATCATTGAAGTTGTCCAGAAGGAAAACAATGGTAAGACTGAAACTAGAATTCTGACTTGCAGTCCCATGCTAATCGTTCCTAGGTTGGTGGCTTGCAAAGAGTGGCGTAGGACAGGCCTGGGTTCCGGCTGCATATGTTGAAGAACAAGCACCTGCGCCTGCACTGGTCCCACGGTCTCCACCACCGCCGCCGGGCATGAATGGTATGGGCAAGGCCAAACCAAACCCACCGGCGAAACGACCCGCCACCGCTAAGAAACCGGGGGCATTACAAGCCCGAGACTCCGGGATGAGTATGAACGGGAATGACTCGGATGGCAGCAGAAGCAACACGCCGACTGCTGCTGGTGCCTTAGCCAACGCACTGCTCGCAAGAAAAAACGCTATGCAAAAACAGAATGATGATGATGACTGGTAGATCACGGATTGCACGCGCATAGAAAATTTCGGATGGTTTCTTCATTCGGCGTTGTCGCTTACAGACCTAAGCGACGACGCGGTAATGCGAGGGCGTAGCGTCATTTTCAAGACAATTGACGCATATTCGGCCCTTTTCTCTTTTTACGTGATCGATACTGCAAGATTATATGGCAAAGCGATGCACTCCCCAGATAGCGGAGGCTGAGTAAAGATTGGGATGCGTGGGACGAGATGGGAAGAGGGCTCCGGATGCATTACGCCCTCAGTCATGTATAGCTACCTAGACATAAGTATGCACTAATGTTTAGATGATAAACAGAAGAATGATAGCCTGTACGGCCGGCCGCGTTAGAGCGGAGCCATAGATGACTTCGCATATTGTTCATTAGCATTCCCATTTAATTGTGTAGGTCTATGTCATCTAGCCGTGAAGATTGTTAGATGCCGAATCTGCTATATGTCCTCACCGTCCTTCGTGCGAATCTTCCTCCGACGTATTAGCTCCGCCAATGGTACCTCATCGTCATCCGGATCTATTATATGCGATACCCCTTCCTGTGGAGACCCGTCGTACACATAGTCATCGTCAAACTCCGCGTCCTCGTCAACACCGTAATCACCTAAGTGTTCGCCGTCCGCATTCACCCAGCCCGACTTGCCCTCGTCGAGAACAACGTACCGCCTCGATTGCTGAGGCCCAGCGGTGCGGGGATACCCGCCCGCGCGACGCTGCGAATAAGCCTCGTCGACGAAGTCGTAGTCGCCTTCGCCGTCTACTTGGTACGGAGAAGCAGAAGCTGGGATCTCTTCGAGGTCATTTATGATCTCGGCCCGCGTGGCCCGCCAACGCTGCAGATCGCGCTCCTGTCTCCGGCGGAAAGCCTCTTTCTCCTCCTCGGGGCTTAGATTCATATCTGGAAGCGCTGGGTCCCGTAGACCCTGCATCTGCTCGAGACGGTATTTCCTCTCTTCCTGGCGGCGCTGACGCCAGAGCCGCGCGTTGCGCACTTTCTCCGGGTCTACGGGGGGCCACATGCCGTCTCTGTCGTTGAGCCCGTTTTCTTCGTAGAACCAGCCTGTGCCGAGCCTTGCGTTGCCCGCTTTCGTCCCGTCGAGTGTCTCGATGAGATCTTCGGAGGTCATGCTTGATGGCAGACGTGCGATGCGTGGGCCGCCTGCGAAGGGCAGGAGCCAGGAAAGCGGGTTCGATGTCCCCATGGCCTGCGCCATGTTCGTGTACACGCCGATATCGTAGGGGAACTCGACGGGGTCGACCATGCTTCGCGGCGCGGAATCGGTGTCTCCGTCCGACGTCCGCCACCAGTCTTCCTCTTCGTATCCCCCGCGCTGCAGCACGGCCTCGTGCCGCTCGATCTCCCAGCCCTCTATCATCGTTATATTGAACAGCCATCCGCGCACGGCCGTGACGAGAAGAATCCCCAGTGCCAGCGAGGTGAAGAACGTGATCATACATAGCGCCGTAAGCATCATGAGTTGCCAGGGCGTCGGCCCCAGGTACGCTGGCAGGTTCCGGGATCCCCAGAGCGCAGTGAACCGCAGCGAGAGGAAATACCCTAGCGTCCAGAGAGAGACGTTCGTGTAGATTATGAAGCGCATGAAGTGCGGGAAGGTCTGCAGCGAGACGCAGTTCCCGGTCCATGGACAATGGTGGTCCATTTTGGGGATGCAGCGGCCGCAGGTCTTGCAGTGGTGCGCGCGGGGCGGCTTGGGCGCTGCGCACTTGCGGCACCAGCGACGACGGGCTACGGCATGAACACCACGGTTCGATGTATGATTATCGTATGCATCGTTATCGTCTTCATCGTGATCTTCATCTTCGGAACTAAGTGTTGCACTGCCTTCGTCTCTTCCGCTCTTCCCGGGTCCCTTTTTCCCGCTCGATCGGGGGAACTCGTATCGGCCGGGATCGACGGTGCAAGCGCGCCAGTACGTCCACCATAAACACCCGAGGAGCGTGTTGAATACGCGTGATTGCGTCGGTGTCAACGGGCCGGGTTCGAGGTCGGGGGATACTGCGAAGAGCCACTGCGAGCCGTACCCGAGGAGAGCGATCAGCAGACTTGCGAAGGGCACGGCGAGACGCTGGAGGCCGGGCGCTGCAGAGCCGACGAGGAAGGCCATAGTAAGAGAGTGTGAGTTAGGCCATTAGAGAAAATGTAAGCCGACGCGCTGCTGCTGCTTATCCTACCAAGTAATCATGAGTTGCCACGCGCTTTGTGGCATTGCTTGCTACGTAAACGAATTACCAGGCAGAGGTACTTAGGTACAAATATCTGGACAGTGCATCGCCAAGACCTACCAGTCATCTCCAGGGTAGCCCCTGCCCCTAAAAGGCTTCTACTAACGACATGTTTTAGCATAATATTGATATCTAAGTGTTATCCTCTTAGATGTTTAAGGTCCCGAGGCTACACATTTACTCGCAAGATTATGATAGTAAAATCTAGCATCTTCATTATTGAAAATGTGGAATTGAATATGGGTTGTAGAGACCGTGAAGACTTACCTCCCATGATTCGTTACTTCCGTCCAGAGCCGCCATCTTTTCTTCGCTGATGGGCAATGTCTCCTCTTCTGAACCGAACTGCAGCAGCTGGTGAATTAGACTGTACACTAACCCTAGTAATCCTACTTGCACGATGCTCATGCCTGATCGCACTTCTCGCGGTCGTGGCCGCTGGCAGAAATGCGAGATGAGGGGTGTCTCCGCCTGCCATGCTGCCGTGACAACCGCTAGAGCCGCTGCGCGTGTGCTCGTAGTCCCCTCTTTGTCGTAGGGGCTGGATATCCAGAGCGTACGCGACGAGGCGTTTTCGACCATCCACGTGCGCAGCTTTGGGAATATCGCGTCCTCTGCGAGCCAGATTTTTCTCGCGCCAAACATACCTGGGCCTTCAGTCCCGATGACGAAGACCTTGATTGTGGAGCTGTGGGCGCGGGCTTGGGCTCGCGTTATGCTGGCTGGGGCTATGTCTTGCACATGTGGCGCAGGCTCGAGTAAGCGCGTTGGGTTTGCTGATTCGAGGGTCCGCCCTGAGATTCTGCTGTCCATCCAGCTCGCCTCCATCATCACGACCATGCGGCGCCCTGCCGCTGTGTCCTGCGCTGCGTAATTCTGCCTTTGGCGTGACAGCTCAGTTTCGAGATTAGTGATTTTCCCGCTGAGGATAGCGATCGTCGCCGTACTACCGACGGATGCTTCACGGTACAGTTCATTGATACAGTCTTCTATGTCCTTCCTGGCATCCTCACGTTCTTTTTTCAAGTTCTCATTGAAACTTGAGAATACCCTAGATATCCTTGAGTGTAAATACCAGGAGATGGCGTCTCGGTAGAACTTGAACATGCGGGCGTAGATATTGGCTAGCTTTTTTCTGAGCCTCTGGGTCTTGATAATAATGATGAGGTTCGAGCACGTTGCAACCTTATCAGAAATGCTAGCAATAGAATGTGATAGCGTCTCGGCGATGTCGCTGTGATTCATGGCTGCCTAGTTTCTTTAGCTGTCTATGAATCTCTGGCATGGACCTGGACCTGGGCCGCTCACCTTTACTAGACTATAATGCCATTAATACTAAGGATGATTACCACTTTTGCCTAATAGGTAGAATAGGTAGTAGGATGCTGCTTAAAGGCTATATTATGTATATATACTTTCATTAAATTTCAACTTAAGTTTAGTTCTTTAATCCAGTCTCAATTCAAGAAAAGAACTCTCTTATCTGCATATGACCCAACATCTCTCGAGACAACGGCTCGGGAAAACTCATGTAAACTCAAAACATAACTTCAACTGAAGGCCCAGGGGATATATAGCGTTATTGATGCTTATGTTAAGTAACTAGGAGTAATGGTTTCATACCGATATTCCTATTTCGTGACCTGCTACGCTTATCTTGCGGGGTAGAAAACCATATTACGTATTTGCTCAGGGTCAAAAAGGAGTTCCGCTGCGACGGAGACATAGAAGATTGGCCAAAGGAAAAATAATAGTTCAAAACCTGCTCCGATTTCCAACCCTACCTATGTGATTCGATGCTGACTGACTATTTAGACCAATTTAATACGTACAACTATTGCGTAGATACAGTAGCAAGTGAGGCTCCTTTTGTGCATATCCATATGATCAAGTCCCGCCGAGAGACAAGGATTGCATTGTAAAAGGTTTTTCATCGTCGTAGTCGATATCAGTCAAGTTGGCGTAGGACATTATGTCAGAGTCATCCTGGCTAAAACATCCGGGGCCTTTGAAAGCCGTTAGCGAGGCCGAGTTGGATGCTGCTGTGCTTATATAGGTCAGCGAGAAGCATTTGAAGGTTGTCGGATTTCCATCCGAGTCGGTGGGACTGTAGCATTGGCCTATGGCGTTCAGCTGTGTCTGCTCGAGCACGTTAATGCAGTCCGAGTCAGTGAAAATGTCGATGTAGACTTGTCCAGTCGGAGTGGCTGCTGCAGATGATGATGATGTTGTTGTCGTTGTTGAAGAAGGAGATGATGTTGAAGAAGGAGATGATGTTGAAGAAGGAGATGATGTTGAAGAAGGAGATGATGTTGAAGAAGGAGATGATGTTGAAGAGCTCACTTTCGAGGTCGTGGAAGACGTCTGGCTTGTAGTGATTGAACTGCTAGTAGCTGATACTGAGGTCAAAGTCACAGTTGGCTGTGTCAACTGAGCGGGAGCTACGGGCACGCTTAAAGTTGCGGTGCAAGTCGAAGAGCCTAATATATAATCCGTTAATATACACAGTTTAGGACGATACCACGGAAGGTACTCACTTGAAGTGCTGGTGGAACTGCTAGAGCTGCTAGAGCTTGACGAGCCCGACGAACTGCTTGAGCTCGATGACTCGGATGACCCTGAGGAGCTACTAGATGGAGAAGAGGTCGGTGAAGGCGAAGGCCCCGGGCTGACGGGTGGGGCATCATTTTGGGGAGTAGGCCCCGAAGGATCAGGGCACGAGCCAGAAATAGTGATACCGAAGATCTGGACGCAAGGCAGGTGGAATTTGGGTAGCTGTGGGAGGGATGGCCAACTAAAATCAACGTCTGGAACTTCTGGCACGTTCCAGACGATTTCCGGTGCACATGTTGGACAGGGCAAGATTATGGGTACAATCGTCGTCGAGTGGTCGCTGCCCGTGGTTGTAAGCCAAGAATTTGCCGTGACCGAGCCTCCGGTGAAGTGTTCAACAGACAGCCCAGAAGGCTCCGTTGTCATAGTCGACGTAATGTTGACACTGCTAGTTGGGGTCGACGCAGGCCCGACAGTGAGCGTCATTCCGTCCGTGGTGATAGTCTGTAATCCCGTCAAAGACGAGCCGGTAGGCAGTGTGAGGACTATGGATGACCCATCAGGCTCGGTGAATGTCGCAACATATGAACCAGATAATGATGTTGTCGAGGATACGCTAGATGTCGTAGTTATAGGCTCTACGGTCAATGTAGAGCCGGATATGGTGATGGTCTCGAGTCCGGTAATAGATGCAGTGGCGGGCAGCGTAAGAGTGACAGGAGACCCACTGGGATTCGTGAGCGTCTCCACGACTGAGGATGATGATATATTGAGCGCCGTAGATATAACAGAGCTAGAGGTTGTTGAGAGAGAGGTTGATGTCCCAATCTGACTGCTGGCACTCGTACTAGTGTTAAAGGAGACACCCGTACTTGTAGAAATAGGCGAGACTGATGAAGTAGAGGGGCTAATGCTTCCACTTGTAGATCCCGAACTAGAAGGCAGACTTGAAATTGAGGGCGAGCTTGAATATTGGCCGGGTGATGAAGCAGCAGATGAGGAAATAGTAGAGGTTACCGTGCTTCCATTAGCGTAAGTTATTGTCATAATAGTTCCAGATGATGAGCCTGCTGCGGCGACATATTCACGCAAGCCTGGAGCTACCTGTGCAGCATAATCGCGTAGGCTTGGAGCTACCGGACTTGAAAAAGAAGTGCCAGCAAGAGCCGCGAAGCTAGACAGACCGACAATCCGCTTTAAAATCATATCTGCGGGCGAATTGCAATGACCGAGAAGAACGATGACAAGACCGCGTACAGTTGGTTAGTTGTTCGACAAGGAGCATTGAAATTAATTATATATATACTCACCAACCGGTCGTATCTTTACTCTTCGAAGCATGCTCTAGTGAACCGGTTAAGCCAGCTTCTCTTCAGGGGTTGTACGATCAGCCGTGGTGAAAGCCAGCGAGACCCAAATCTCTCGTCATCATGTAAGTGAATTTGTAGACATGTCGTCATGCTAACTCGGTTTATTGCCGAAGCCCCCAAGAGCCGCCTGAGGCGGAGCTGTCGCAGATCAGACCCCCATGCGACCCAGTCGTTTGGCGAAATGCAAAGGATTCCCACAAGGCAGAACATGCCTAAGTAGATCATATTAATGCAGTGGCGTAAGCCTACAGCTGAAAGAGTCCCAAATTTTATACTCCTAGATAGAGAAGACGTAATCAAATTTAAAGTAAACATCTAAAGACCATGCAGCCATGGCGTCACATTCCCAAGTTGCTTGCATCTATCTATGGCGAGCCATATGCTAATTATAGAGTGCTTCTCTTCTTTAGGGAACTGATGTAGTCACCGCGCATTTAGCAGCGATCCTGAGCACATGATTTGCATCTGGTCCTCCATACTCAACCCCAGGGATACGTTTATTACCCGTAGGGCCTTTCTGCAGTAGCTTAAGCCCGTTCATGTAAGACGATCCGACCACCGAATCCTGATCAAGACCAGGGAAGGTGACCTGAGACTTCCCAATAGGCCCTTCGGAGAGGTGTGTGAGCTTGAACCAAACTAAGTGAGGGAACTCATTGCTAATGCGGCTCAGCAGCTCCGACCAAGTTGAATTATTGACAAGTATAGTTAAACGAAATGATATACTCGTCAGGCTCTGTTCCGACTTGCTAAGAAGTGCCATGATACTTTGGACGGAGATTGTGGCCATAGAGAGCTCTAGCTTCTCTAATTCTGGCAAGGTCGTATTTTCAAGGATTAATGGTGTGGTACGCGGCATGTTATGAGGCTGCCAGAACGAGAGTGAGAGCTCTTTGAGCGAAGGTGCATTGAAGAGGATTTGATCAGCCCAATACGAGTTTAGGTTCTGGTTGAGGCATAATTCTGCTTTTCGTAAGATAGAAAGCCCCTTGCCTCGGCCTTGATATTCAGGGGACAGCTCAGCTGCGATGATAGTTGTCATGGGTGATTCCTTTCGCATACTAAACGCCGTGATGGCCAGGTCAGCACCGTCCAAGATGGTGCGAGCGAGGAGTGCTGCGATTTCTGGATCAGAAGGGGCGCGTGGGGTGCGCTTATCCTTGATCTCGAGCCTCTCGGGACGAAGTTGCTTGGTCGCAAGCATAGACTTGAGAAGTCCTATACCAAGCGCTTCCGATGTAACCCGTCCGTCTTCATGCCGTGGCCAGATGACGGAAGATTCGGAAGGCAACGATTCCTCGAATTCGTCGGAGTCGTCCTCGACACAGATTACTTTAATGTATTCTCGTATCTGTACACATGTAGCCAGCATTTGAAGTCTACTTAGATCGCCGGCCATTAGACTTGTTTTCCACGTCGAGAAATAGCGACCGAGTACGGTCTGGACGGACCCATCGTCTAGTTTTGCTTCTGTGCATGACTCCAGGAATGCACTCCGATCCGGGCCAGGAAGTAGATGCGACCAGTCGTCAACCATGCCTGCAGATACTACCCTGGATGTCAGATTTGATTGATTCAATTCGGTCATATTCGTCGTAGCTGTGATTGAAAGGAAGGGCTTGTTCTCAGTGCCGTACAAGTTGGTTGAAAGGATTGCCTATTGGTTTCAGAAAACGGCAAGGCAGACGATTTAAGGAAGTTCGCTGATGCAGTGGCTTCTCCCCGACATGTATAAATAGTAAATAGGTAGATAGCTGTGGTGTGCATTACGTGATAACCAGGGTTGCATCTAACCCCTGGCCCCCACTTTCTACCCTGTAGGCTTACAACGCCACCAGGCACACATCGTGACGGTAATTACAAGAAACATTGACGATATGCCGATTATGACACCATCAACACCGCCCGCAACAGGTTGTGATGGTGATCGCCACCAGTGGGAGTTCTCAATGCAAATCTCTCAGCCTAGTAACAATGACAGAAATAGAATGCTGGTTCAGGGGCGAAGCCGCTCAATGGGAGAAGGCTGAAGCCGAAATAGCCGAGATCCTGGAGTCCTACACAGTCAAGTTATGACGTTGGGTTGCAAAGGTTATCATTGCTTTCTCTACAGCTAAATGAGAGCGAATTCACGAAAATATAAGTGGTGATCCCCCGTACTCTCCTTCAACGTTGACAGTTATTATGCTACCATCGTGCAACGTATACATCTAATTCGCCGGCCATGGCGCGCTCTTCTTACTTTATAAACTGGCTTTTGAGTACATGGATTGCTCTTCTCTTTTCGTTATCCCTGTCCGCTCCCTTAGAATCGTGAGTATCCAGAGAATGCTGCTCTGTCACACTGCTAACTCCCCGATAGCAACGAGAAGTCGGTCGTCGTCAAGCGAAATGATGCGATATATGACATATGGAACAGCATTCCAAATACACAAAAGGCACAGGGCGATTCTGCACTGGAATTCAACATAGATCAGACTCAGGACAATGCCTGGGGCGTCACTTATCTCTATGGCTGCACAGCTCTAATGATTTCCGATCCCAACTTCGTCATTGGTAAGCACCATCGTTCCCGACACAAGCCCTAACTCAGAACGGTGTTATTTGCTCTATACTTACTGATGAGTTTTATAGTCGCTCACATGCAGCAAGAGACTGGCACAGGAACAATCTGTATCAATGATCAAGCAGCCCTACAGAAATATCTCACCAATACCCTTCAGCCGGCGCTGGATTTGGTAAAATCTCCTAACAGGTCTAACTTCAGATTCCAATAATTGTTGCTAATTGCTGTCTAATTAGCATGACCCCACCGCCAATACTCAAGTTGACTTGATATACAATTCTAACGATTGCAAGTGGACCGGCACGGGTGTCCAAAGCATCAAGAGCTACCTTATGGATGATGTCAATTTTGGCGCGGCTGAGAATATCATATTCCCTCGACCTTATACAGGCAGTAGCGGTACGGGTACGCCGAATCCAAATTCCCCACGGGGACTAGCTGTCGTCCAGGTAAGACTTGTTGCATCCTTAATCTGCTGGATAGTACTAACCGGCAACAACTGCAGTGGCAGAAACCGCAGCTTGTAGGCCTAACCGTGGGTACACTCCAGGTGTACTTCAACAACGATACCCCACTTAGAGATCAAGTATTCATGACTATGTGATCAGATGTTGGCAGAATGATGGGGTTTCTGACAGAGAAGGCTTAGGGGGTGCGAACGGAACTCGATTGGAACTGCGGTTTGAGGAACAAGAGCGAAGGTTCGGGACCTAAACCGTCATTAAACGGAAGCATGGTATTCATTAAATGCATCAACAACAATAAAAACCCTTGAACACTGAGCAGTGGCTGATTCAAGTACTCTATAAATCTCGTCTAAGGACAACCGGGTCCGTTAAAGGCTCAAATATACTTAGAGATCTTTTGGACCACGTGGTAAACAAAGCAGATGCTGAGCTACATAGTTGTTGGGGTAGATTAGATGGCTAATCTGTTATTAGAGATAGGACTGATCAAGGATCCCTGGTGTAACAACCTTGCAATGTTTTTTTGGGTCCTTTTTCTTAGTATATTAAGATAAATGGGCCATTTATCTAAGTCAGTTACATACTAAGTTACTATAGAGGCTTTACCATACTCGATGGTCAATTGGACTACCCCTCGCTGCGATAGCTAATCCGCAACGCCTTCGCATACCAGCAGAAGCCCTCGCAGCCAATCCTCCAAAACCGCCTCCCACGCTTTAAAAACCCACACGCGCATTTAATCGTACAAAGGTGGTTACAAAAGGGGTTATGGAAGGAGTTGTTCGAACAGTTATATATGTAAACTACCAAATAATTAGAAGATGTTATAAATTCTATAGTTCGCAATAACTTCGTCTTAAAGATATTCGAATTACCCTCTATGTTGTTGAAAGTGTAGGTGGTAAAGGAGTCACTTCATGTATACAGTACGGGTCAAGGGTCACAAAGGGTTACAAAGGCACTATTCATGTATATAAGACGGTCTTCCCACCTCATTTAAGTTAAGTAGTTTAATTAAATACAACCCTTATATACCTTCTATTTTAGCAGGTTATAAGCCTGGAAACTTTTTTATTAAGCTAAATTAAGCTATATCTTTTTATAAATTTATACATTAATAAGTAATAAGGATTATTAATTAAATTTATTTTTAAATTAATATTAAAAGTAGTAATTAATTTAAATAAGTTTAAATTAACCTAAAATACTTTTTATCCCCTATTATTCTTATAATTTAATTTTTCCTTTTTTTAATATTAAACTATTTATTAATTTATAGATTTATTTTAAATAAACTATAAAAAGAAAATCTAAAATAACTATAATATAAAAATTAGGAAAAAGGGTTATTAAACCTATTATAATATAATAATATTTAAACATTTAAGATTTTATATATTTAATAATTAATATTATATTAACGCATCTCCCACTTGACCTGGCCACCCAATTGACCTGGCCACCCCAATAACCTATATAAAACCCCATTATTTAAATCTTCAATAACTTTACGAATATTAGTCGTACGATTTAATAATTAATACCTTTAAATCCGTTAGTTAAAGGGGAATCCAGAGGTATTTTTTACTATTTTTTACAAAATTTATTAAGCGAGATATTAAGCAATACGCTAAAGAGGCGCTAAGCAAGGATTAATTTAACGCTTACTTTAGCGTATTACTTAATAACTCCACGAATATAAATCGTATAAATTAGTGAGGGATACCGTTGAATAGCTCTTTTTATTACGAATCTAATGGTGTATTTTATTATTTTATACGATTAGTATTCGTAGAGTTATTAAATTATCACGTGATTAACGCACCGACGTTATTTGTATGGGCTAGGGGGGTGGCCAGGTCAAGTGGGAGATGCGTTATAATAAAAAATATTAAACCTTTAAAAAGAAGATTTAAATAATAATAATAATATTTATATTAATTTATTTAAATTAATTAAAAATAATAGCTACATTTTAAATATTAATAATATTAATATATTATTCTTATTTAATAATATTAATTTATTTAAATATATAGTATATATATTATTAAGGTTACCTATAAACTTAAATTTATATAAGGAATTAAAGGAAATTAGCTTAAAAGTATTTAATACTTTTTTAAAAAGTTAAAGCTTAATATAAACTTTTCTTAATTTTAACCTTTTAAATTAATTTAATAATAATACTATTACTTTATTATAATCTTATTCTTTTAACCTATATATTATAAATATAGTAATAAAATAAAGCATAATAATAATTATTAATTTATTAATAATAAATTCCATTATTATAATTAATAGGATTATTAATATTTTAAAAATTAAAATAATTATTATTAAACTTAATTTAATTATTAAACTATAGGAAAAAAATAATTATTATAAATAAAAGTTTAATATAATTATAATATTTAATATATATAATATTTTTAAATTTATTAAAGGATAGCTATTAAAATAAAAAGATTAAATTTTAATATAACTATAGCTAATATAAAAAACTAATTAATAATAAGCTATTTTAATTATAATATAAAATAACTTAATATATTTATAAAATACTAATATTACTACCTTTAAAACTATTAATAAAATATTTAAATAAATTAATAAAAAGTATAATTAAAAAGGTATTATATTATTATTTATATTAATTAACTAATAAAATAATATAATAATTAAAAATTTTATAATAATTAAAAAATTAATTAAAAAAATCTATAATATTTAAAAAGGATATATTAAAGTGAAAATAAAATATATATTACCTAATAGTTACCTTATAATATATTTCGTATAAAGGTTTAATAAAAACTTTAAAGCTTAAATATAAATATTTTAAATGTTAATAAATATAAATATTTTAATATTAATTAATATAATCCTAATTATAAAAGTAAAAAAAACCTATATAGGTTAAATTATTTAATTAAAGGAAGATAATATATTAACCTTTACTATTAAACTAAATTAGAAATAAATAGTAATAATAATATAACTTATTAAAAAAAAGGTAAAAATAATAATTAAAAAAAAGCAATATAAATATTATAATAAAATTAACTATATTAATAATTAATATTAAAAACTATATTTTAAATTAAAGGTAAAGGTATAAAAGAAATAAAAGGGGAAGAAAAATAAAAAGGATAATAAATAGGAAATAAAAGAAGTTATATTAATAATATATTTAAAACTTAAAAATAATAATAATAATAATATAGTAAAAAATATATAATTAATTTAAGTTAATTATAAAGTTTATTCTTAATACCTTTTATTAAACTCTTTATTTAATAATATCCTTATTATTCTTTTTTAACTTATTTAAACTTAAAAATAAAAGGTTTTTTAATCCTTTCTTTTTATTAATACCCTTTTTAATTTTTTTCTTTTTACTTTTTTTTTTTTTCCCCCCTTCCTTTTTTTAATTTAAAAACTTTATAATTATAAAAATAACGTTATATTATAAATTCCTTAAAATAAAATACTAAAAAGAGTAAAAGCCCTATTATAATTATATATAAATTCTTATATTTATTCCTTTTCTTATCTTTTAAAACTATTAATATCTTTATTAATACTTTATATTCCTATTATAAATAATTATTTATTAAAAAGACTTTAAATTTTAAACTTAAAATATAATTAATATATAATTTAAAATAAAAATAAACTTTTAAACTTTAAAAAGCTTAATTTAAAGGAAATTATAATTTATTATATTATAGTATTCTAAGGCCCTTGGAATATATATATATTATATATATTATGTACCTTTCCTATATACGCTTCAAAAGAAATTCTTCCTTTCTTTAAGCTTTAGTTTTATTAAATACCTATTATAAAATTAAAAAAACTTATAATATTATATTTAACCTTTAAGATTTAACCTACTTATAATAATTTTAAAGCTTTCCTTTAAGGTTACCTATAATATTATTAATTATAATATATTTATATATAAATAAATAATTAAAGCTAGCGTTTTTTTAGGAAATTTAAATTAAAAAAAGTTTTTAATAATAGCTTAAGGATAAAGTTAATATAATTTATTTTTAAAAGAATAATAAACCTAAAATTAACTATTAAAATCTTCTAATAACTTTAATTTAATAAATAAAGCTAACATTTAATTATTATAATAAATAAATGTTTAACTTTTAATTAAAATTATAAAGCTAAAGAAATAACTTTTTAAAGGAAAGAAAGTTGTTTAAAGTTTAAAAGTAATTTATACCTTTTCCAAATTATATTTAAATAAAAAAAAAAAAACTTAAAAATATTAAGTTTAAATAAATTAAAGTATCGTTTTAACCTTAATAATTTATAAACCCTTAATAATTAATAATACTATTAAAATTAAAAAAAAGATAATCCTAATAATAATAACCCCTTATTATTTAACTTTAATATAAAGTATAGTTAAAATAGTTATATATATTAATTATATTTAAATTATATATATTATTATAAATATTACTTTTTTAAGGAAGTTAATTTAAATTAACTTTTTAAATTCAATTATAATCCCTTTAATATAAAGTTTATTTATTTAAAATAGTTAAAATAAGTAAAAGAATTAAAAACTATATTCTATAAGGTTAATTATAAGTTTAAAACTAATACCCTTAAAATTCTTTATATATATAATAAAATAAATAGGAATTATAAAAATATATATCGAATTATAAAAAGAAAGCTTAAATATATAAAAAGGAAATAAATAAAGTTTAATTAAAATACGTTTTTAAATTAAATTAAAACTTTATTATATTAGTTATTCTTTTTATAGGTTAATATTAATATATAATTTAAAAGGGCTATATAATATATTAATTAAAACCTAAGATTTTTTAATTAATATTTAATTAATATTAAAAGTTAAAACTTAAAATAAAGTAAAGGTAAAAAAGCTTTATTATATTATTAAAAATTAAATGGACCCTTATAAAAGGAATTAATAAATTTCTATAACCCTTTATTAAAGATTAAAATTAAAATGGTTAATATAGTATAATAATATTAGGAATTAATAAATAAAAATTAATAGGTTAATTATAAAAAAAAGAAGCTTAAATTAAAAAATATTTAAATTAATAATAAACTACCTATAAATATAGGTTAAGGTTAAAGTAATAGTTAAATTATTAATAATAATTATAAAAATAGATATAAAGGATATAATAATAATAGTTATAATAATAGCTTTAATTATAGCTATATTAATAATTATAAAGGTAATAATAATAATAATAACTATTAAAGTAATAATAATAGTTATAGCTATTAAGGAAATAATAATAATAATTATTATTAATATTTTTAAAGTTTTAATTATTAGGAAAACTATTAATTTAATAACTTTATTTTAAAAAGTTAACCCCTTTTTAAAGCTCCTTTAAATTATTTATAAAGTAATAATAAAAATAAATTAAATTAAGGAAACTATAAAGGAGTAATTTATTTTAATTATAATTAACTAAGCTATATTACTTTAAACTATATTTAATTTAAATAAGATTAGAACTTTAATTATATAAGTTATATAATATAAAAATAAACCATTTAAAAAGTTTAAGTAAACGAAAAGTA